TTCTTTACAGACCTTGAAATAAAGATTCTCAGCTTCATATGGACATAACCATTTTGAATTGAGCATTTTGAATCAGAGCATCTATGATCCCCGACAGGAGACTCTCAGAACACCATGCCTGTTAACACTCCCTTATGAGGACCTTCACAAGGCCCCTCTCTGGGTTATGTGGTAGATGAACATTGACTGTGGGATTCTTTGGTAGATAACTTCCAAGGACTGCAGCTTCCTTGGTATCACCGATGCCCTGTGGGTAACCCCTCCCCCACACTCCCTGTACAGGAGCCAGTCAACCCACGGATACACCACAGTGCCCTCGGGGCCAGTCTTCTCTTTGGTCTGCCCGTCTCTCACTGGCTACGGTATCTACCCAGAAATGTCCCCATACCATCCGCCTCAGCTTTCTTGTCTGCAAATGGGGTTATGGCGCCTGCCTGCATATGCCAGAGCATAGACCCTCCCTGGCAGGCTTTGGGAGTCACAGTGGGTCTAGGAGGCAAGCATCAAGCACGGAAGCAAGGACCTGATGGATTCAGGTCTTCACATCATCACAAAGCCACTTATCAGTTAGCGGTTGCTCCTCTCCTTCCTGGTTTGCCTAGTTTTCATTTTTCTCCATCAGAGGCACCTCTACAAGGACAGCTGTCTCTTGTATGGCAAGGGCCCCCCTTAAGGTTATTTTTATAAAACTGGTTTGTTTCTCAGTTCTCTCTTAACCTGGATACCACATAGATAATTGAGACTCTACTGTATTATTTCAACAAGCTTCACAGCACAATCCTGAGCAATATTAACTCTGTTTCTAACCATCTAAGCTGATCTGGTTTCCTCCCAGCGTATGTCCCAGAGATACTTGCATTTTGTAGCTTTGTTGTTCAGCTCCTCGTTCTGATGCCCTTTGAACCTCTCCTGTGTCCAAATCCCCTACTTTCTCCTCTGACTTCTCCTCCCCTGGCTGGCAGAAAGTCCAGTCCTATTTTCACCCCTGCTCAGCAATTGGCTGTAAGCTGTTTTATTGGCATATCAGGGAACAATTGGGGAGCAGTGTTTGTACAACATCGAGACAGGAGATTCTAAGAACAAGGATTACAGCCAGATATGGAGGCTACAGAACTCAGCATTTGAATTACACAATAACCTTATGCCTACAGGCCCTCATAGTCTGAGTTACACAGTGAGCTGTGCTGTATGTACTGTGTTGTGCTGTGCTGTGCTGTGCTGTGCTGTGCTGTGCTGTGCTGTGCTGTCCTGTCCCTGGGAGCTAACACCTCTGCCCTTAGTCATCTCTCACAGCAAGTATTCCTTACGCATTGAACCATCTCCCCAGGCCCTCATAGATGCTCTCTTTTGACATGAAATGTAGGTTTCTTTGATCTTACTTGGTTTCCTACACATAGAATATTTAGTAATTAATGTCTCTACCCATTGTTTCATAAAGAATTTTTTCCCTTCCTTTTATGAAGTCCGTCTGCTTTGTGTCAGGGCTAATAGGCAAGGCCAGCAAATCTAGTCAATCTTGCACTCTCTTTCTTCTGGTTTTATTCCAGGCATTGTTTCCCATACTCTGCAGAGTTTATGTGACATCCATTCCGTGTCCAGGCCATGAGCTTTCAGCAGTTTCCCTCATAGTCAACTGTATTCACAATACTTACAGTGTTCCTCCATGGGTTTTATTTTTTAAAGTTTTATTTTTAACAGCCCTATCTATCATATTTCTTCCTGGGCTTATAAGAGGTAACTAAGCATATAGAGAAAAACCCCAAAAGGCCCCTGTCATTGGCGTTCTACACTATCACACTGTCTTAGCTCGTCTTGTCCTTGTGGTAAAATACCTGACCAGAGGCAACTTAAGAGAAAAAAGAATTTATATTGGCTCATGGCTCAAGAGAGTACAGTTCATCTTGGCTAGAAGGCACAGTGGGTTCCACTGCTGTGGCTTGTTACCTGAGACTGTTCATGTCTCAGTGGAGTAAGGAGCAGAGAGCTCAGGCAGTAACCCCCACCGGCCTGTCCCAACATTCCACCTCTGCCAGCCATGCTTTCTTCCTTAAACGTTCCATAACCTCGCCACACAGCGACCAAGCGTTCCTATACAGGAGAGGGCAGAGAACATTTTAGTTTCAAAGAGTAACACACTGGTCCATCCATTTGTCCATCCGTACACTGGATCTGATTTTCAGCTGAAATGTATTTGTGTCTTAGCTGATCTGGTTTGATGGTAGGCTCTAAAGACCAAAGTAGCTGTTTAACTCTTAGGAAAAAACAAAACAAAACAAAACATTTCCTTATTTCATATTTCCTATGGTCATTCCGCACATATTTACTGCAGGACTACTATAGTACAAATACATGTTCAGGACCAAAGCTTCAAAGGCAGACAGACTCAGGGTCCCTGCCACCGCATAGAGTTAGGACAAATAATGCTCTTGACCCGTCTCCCTGTTGACCCCATGGCCCCATGTCTACCAGTTGTCTCCTAGAAGCAGCTTCCCTCTTCAGCCCTGTTTCCTTACCCTGTAAAGGAGCCTGTTTCTCGTGAGTTTCCTTAACGCCCCTAGGGAAAAACCAACCCATTTCTAATTGTTGTCGATTGCTCTTTCAAACTCGTTTTCTGCATCCGAGCCCACCAGTTCCGAGCTGCAGTGGGAAGAGCAGGCAGCAGCTCACTGCTGAAGCTTAGCGGCTTCTGTCTCAAATTAAAATGTTTGACTCCCCTGGTAATATCTATCTTTTCTTTTTCCACAGCTCTGCTCATATGTTGCTTATAAATCTTAACTCTTAAGTATGAATTTTTGGCTCCCAGTTAAGTGAAATATTTTATTTAGTAAAAGCCAAAGCCAAGCTTGGGGCAGCCTGGGAACACTACGCCACCGTACCGTGCCCTAACACAGTGAGTCCCTCTGCGGAGTTTCTTCTTTGGGGCTATTTGTTTTCAGGCAAAGTGGGAGAGTGCTTTTCAACACTGGCACTGTAGTAAGGTCTCAGCCTCATCTTTTTGGGCAAAGTGCTCTCTGTGGTACTCCATGGCCTTGCTGTGGCATAATTCAAAATGGCCCTCACCGGAACCCTGTCTGCAGCCGTGTCTCCAGCTCTGATTCTTGCAGTCTGAAGAAGGGGTTTGATTTGTTGCAGCCTTTTGCTCTGTGTTCGTTGTAAGCTCATAGACAGGCATGCTCGGTTGCTCATGCTAGCCCTTGCACTCCGGAAACTCGCAACCCAGTTTTGCTTAGACGGGCTCAAGGCAATTGCTGGTTGGAAATTAGCTGTCAGATCAGGCTGCTGGAGTCCACCGTCTGTGTGCAGCCATGTTCAGAAGCCCAGGGCTTTCCAGCTGCCTGGGAGCCTTCAGATTTTCTGAGAAACAAGGTAAGGCAGGGGAAATATGGAAAATGCATTTCTGTATCCATTTTCTAATGTCTTTGCTGTGGGATCTAGTATTCTCCAACACCCAGCTCTAGTCCCGCAGCTGTCTGAAAGGATGCTTTAACTATCAGAGTTCCTAACGATAGCTTGTAATTGCTGAAAATGTCTTTTATATTTCTGTTGCTAAACCACAAAAGCTTTTATACAGCAAAAGTTGCTAAACTTTGGATCAAATCTAGATATGCTGAGTTGTACCTAAAATATTTTCTGAAACTACATGTTTTATGTACGAATTTATTTCCAGCAGGCAGTGGTGGGTGAGTGGCTTTTTCTTAATTCTTCCTGTGACACAGTTTGGAGAAAACACTGCCTTTTCAGTGGCTTCCTTTCCAGCACAGAGAAAGAGAAGTGTTTCCCACCTGATTGCTGCAGCGCTGTTCCATAGTCAGTGTGGTACCGGGACAGAAGTGAGATGCTGTGGGTACTTTAAACACTGATTAGAAACCCAGCCATTATCTATGCGGAATATTTCATAGCACACGTGCTCTCTTGGGACCAGACTAGAACAATTCGGAACTTCCTTTGGTAACATCTGATAGCTCTTTGATCAGAATTATCTTTCTTTCGATAGTTATGCCGGGATGCTTGTGTGCCTGGAATGAAAGCCTGGGTATCTAATTGGCCTTATTTTCCTGTGCCTTCCTGTTGGCCCTAACTTCTAGGACTTGAGATGTGTTTTGATGGATAAAGAAGTGTTGGCATCTGCTATAGCTTGTACGTTTCCCACTCCAAACTCTGATTCTCAATAGGAAACCATGAAGGAACATCCTTGGGGGAAGGCGTTTCTGTTCGGGCTCTGCTTGTGTTTGGTCACTGTGCCTAAAGCTGCAAAGCAGATTGCTGGCTGTGAGACCAGTTATAAATCCTGTCTCTGCCTGGTTTTTATTAACACATTCACCCTGGATGTGTGATTTTCCTGTACGGAATTGTTACCAGCTGTCTTTACATCATATATCCTATCTTCAAAACTACAAGTCTGTCCAGTGGGATGGCTTAGCAGGCAGCGCTTGCTGCCAAGTTCAATGGCGTGAGCTTGAGTCCAAGGATGGTAGAAAGAACAGGTTGTCCTTTTACCTCCACAATCATACCGTGGCACAAGCGTGCCCACACTCGTGTGTGTGTGTGTGTGTGTGTGTGTGTGCGCGCTGTTGTCTAGATTTTAACAAGGCAGAAGAGACACAGCTGAAGCTACCCTTGCTCTTCATGCCCCTCTCACCTCCCCACCTTCTCCAAAGGCATCTCAATTGTACCAGGTGGACTGCATCATTATCTCTGGCTCTCTTGTTCAAATGGCTTAATTGTTTTCTTTCCTCTCCTCAGTATATAACTGTTACTTGGTATTTAATTGTTTCAAGTTATCCTTTTTTCCTGTAACAATTGACATGGCTTTGATGGATATCAAAATATGTTTAACATATGATCTGTGCAGACCAGAGCTTTGTGTGTGGGATTTCTGTGTTGAGTTTCTCAGAAGGTATCAGTTTTATTTGGTTATTAATGTCTTCCCCCCCCCCCCCATTGGAATGTCTTAAGTGGCTTGCAGCTATTTTAACACCATGTTCTTTCTTTTCCCTTAGATTTCAACAAGAAAAACTTAGGCTTTCTTGGATTCCCGCATCAAAGAAAAGCTTCAAGGTAACATAGCCTCTGTTCAAGGGCTCTTTGGAGATGTATGGTGCCTTAAAGATGATCCCTTAAATCCCCCCTTTCCTTCTTCAGAGCTGGGAATAGAACTTGGGGCCTCACACATGCTAGGCAAATGCTTTCCAGTGAACTGCATGCCCAACCCTCCAGGCACTTAGATTTCTAACGTCTGAGTTTGTTTGGCAGTATGTTTATCCTGGGGTGTTATTTAGTTATCTATACATTCATACATATGTGCATATATGCATGCATGCATGCACACACATATATGCATACATATATATGAGCTAGTGGTGTGGCTCAGTGGCACAGTTCCTACTTAGCCTGTGCAAACTACCAAGTTCAGTTCCAAATTCCAAAGCACACTTATATATGTGTATGTGTGTCTGGATGGATGGATGGATGGATGTGAAGGAGGCTGACTTAACAGTATTTCTAGGCAATATTGACTCTTCTGTACTCTGCGCTGGTCCTGGGAACCAGCTGGGGCCTAGAATGTGTGCTGATGCCATTTGTAATTAATCGCCATCTTAGGAGGTGCCAGTGCTCTTTTCTCTCATCTGCCTCTAAGCTTATGACTCTGTTCATCAGGGATCTTTCGGTTTTTCTAAGAAAGAGTTCAGCCTTGTCCCTTCTGTCCTTTTTTCATTTCCACCCATCTTCCTTTCCCGCCGTCTGCCAGCCCCTGTCCTTGTGGGTTCTTGTTGTCCAGCCTTACATCTCTCTCTTACTGCATTTGCAGGTGCCTTCCCCTTGGGGCATTCTGGGTGCTGATCTAATCTACCTTCTGTTCCCAACCCCTGCTACACGTCGCTCATGTGAAACAGTGTAAAAGTGAAAGCGCGTGTTGCACCAGGCAGCTGCTCCGAGTCCTTAGGCCACTGCCCACGGCGCAGTCAGACAGTACTGACTGACAGTACCGTCATCCCCATGCATCCGTGTGCTAGGAGGAGCCCAGTCCTGTGCCAGCCTCCCTTCCCCTCAGATGCCCTTGTTCCCCATTAACTGTGGCTCTAACACTTTACTATGAAGGACTCGATTCCTTCACATTGTAACAATGAGTTGCCTGACTCTGGGTTTCAACTTGGAGAGCGGACTTTATAAACACACCACATAGGAAATTCTCTGGTATATTCCGTGCATATCTAAGAATAAAGTCGATTAGAACCATGGCTTGGGATAGCCATTCATGTCTATGGTGGGTTTGAATGTCACCTTGGGCACATTCCCTAACGTTTCCGCAGCAGATACTCTTAACTGTAATGAAGCTAATCAATAAGAAAAAGAAAGATACGGGCGAGGAGAGAGGGAGGCAGTACTTATTCAAGGATAGGAAAATGTAGAATGTGGAAGTCAAACACTTTAGTGACCTTGGCTCCTTGGGGCACTAGACTTGAGAAGCCATGGCTGTTATTTCATGTCCTCTGACTATAGTGGCCTACCTGGGAGAACGCCAAGTTTAAAAGGTGCCACCGGCATAAGGGTCTGTGTGCATACAAGAAACACACCAGCAAAGAAAGCCCAAATTATGAGGCAATGGGGTTTCACCTTCTCATCTACCTTTTGGTGATTAGCAAGAACCCAGCCCTGGTGGAAATATTCAAGGCACAGCAACCACCGCAAAGTGGGTGGGCCAGTTACTGGCCATTTAGATGCCTCTAAGTTGTGTGTACATGGAGTCTTGTGGAGATAATGGGGACCGAGGCTCAAATTAGGGTCAGTATATGTGATAGGATGTGCTCCATTCCTTTATTAGTCTCTCTTTCGCTTCCTCTTGTATTTACAAGTCTTCATGGGCCATTCCTCCCTTTTGCCTGTCCTGTTGTTTGGTGATTTGAAGGCATGTGTGATACTAATATAACTTCAGACTGGAAAAAGCCTTAAATACTTTTATACTAATATAATTTAAGACTACCTTAATTTATGTTGCTTACCTTCTGAGGAAGAAACTGTGTGGAGCCTAGGATGGTTGGGTGGGCTAGCCCAACATACTCCACTATTCTGGGATCAAGAGGGTATTGCCAGGCCGAATAAAGAAATAGAACTCACAGGTTCATCAGTGTGTTCTCCACCACACACACACACACCATGCTGCTGTTAATGCTGGCGTAATTACATACTTGCACACACATGCACAAATTATCATATTAAGACAAATGTAAACAAATGAAGAAAGTCACCAGTAAAAAACACATACTTAGTTGTGATGGCACTGTGGGTTTTGTGCTTAGTGTTTGCCATGCAGTATTCAGTCTGCATCTAATTCAAGACTGCATTAATGGGCTAACTTTTAGCTTTCAGAAAGAGTTTCCCTTTGACGAGAAGGAAGAGCCTGCCAGCCTCCGGAGAGGCCTTGATGCCAAGTGTTTAGCTGCCCTCCCTAAAGGTAAGAGCTTCTCTAAATGGCCTGCCAGCACCAGGTGCAGCTCTCCGGGACACTTGCTGAAGGATGCTCACTAGCCTCCAGCCCGTGGTTTCCTCCATGTCTCGTCCTTCCTCCTTGGAGCACTAGATTATTAGGGGCCTTTCCTGAATTTTGCACCTTGTTCTTCTGCTTATTCTTCCCTCCGGCTGCTACTGGAGGCTAAACGAAGAGGAAAGCGCACAGGGTCCTTGTTCTCCCATTAACAGGGGACGGGGACTGCAGCTCAGTTGGTGGGGTGCTTGCCTTGCATGCAGGAGACCTGGCTTTGATGCCCAGCACCATGCAAGCAAAGCTTGGTGGCTGAAGCTGTAATGCCAGGGTTTGTGAGGGAGCCAGGAGGGGAAACATAAATTCTACCTCTAGAAAAAAACAAAACAGCAACAACAAAAAAAACCCAATTGTTAGGGCTCTAGAGAGATGCCTGCGCAGTAGTTGGCAGCACTAGTCTGGCAGAGGGCCTGGGTTAGGTTCTCAGCACCCATGTGGTGGCTCACACCCACATGATTCCAGTTTCGAGGACCCAGCAGGCACCAGGCATCAACGTGGTACACACACATGCATTTGACCAAAACATTCATATGCTTTAAAAAAAGAGAGAGAAAGAGCATACAGTTGGGAGGGTAGGGAAGTGAGGAGGAGCTAGGAAGGTTGGGGGAGGGAGAGACATGATCAAACTGTATTATATGGAAAATATGAAATAAGCTGGGCGTGGTGGTGCACCCCTGTAATCCCAGCACTCGGGGAGGCAGAGGCAGGTGGGATCTCTGTGAATTCGAGGCCACCCTGGTCTACAAAGTGTGTCCAGAACAGCCAAGGCTACACAGAGAAACCCTGTATCAACTCCCCTCCCCCCAAAAAGAGAAAAATATGAAATAAAACAATTTTTAAATTGAAATGAACTTTCCCTGAAGGCAGCTGGTGTCCTAAGCTCCCATTACTGTCCATCTGCCTACTTCCCTTCCCCTGACCCTACCCCCGGTTCTGCCTGCTTTACCTCTGCTTCTTCCCAACTAGGAGACTTATGCAAGAGCTCATGAAATTTCCTTCCTTCCTTCCTTCCTTCCTTCCTTCCTTCCTTCCTTCCTTCCTTCCTTCCTCTCTCTCTCTTTCTTTCTTTTTTCCTTCCTTCCATTCTCTTTCTCTCTCTTTCTTTCCTTCCTTCCATTCTCTTTCTCTCTCTTTCTTTCTCTCTCTTCCTTCTTTCCTTCTTTCTTTCTTTCTTCTTCCTTTCTTTCTTTCTTTCTTTCTCTTTCTTTCCATTCTTCCTTTCGTTATCTTTTGCTCTCTCTTTCTCTCTCTCGCTTTCTCTTTCTCTCTTTCTCTTTCTCTTCTTTCTTTCTCTCTCTCTCTTCCTCATTTCTTTCTTTTCTTCCTTTTTTCCTTCCTTCCTTCCTTCCTTTCTCTCTTTCTTTTGCTCTCTCTTTCTCTTTCTCTCAGCCCTGGCTGCCCTTGAACTCACAGAGATCTGCCTGCCTTTGCCTCCCAAGTGCTGTGACTAAAGGCATACCTGGCCTGACTTTTTGTAGGCAACACAGAGCTGAGGGAGCCTATATCCTAGTCATCTTTTGAATTTTAAAATATTTTATTGCATTTGTGTGCATATGTATCAGCACATATGTTCCAGAGAATGCATTTGGAAGTCAAGGGACAGCTCTGTGTAAGTGAATTTAGTTCTTTCCTTTAACCATGTGATTAACCGTGTGGGCCTTGGGAGTTGAATCCTCACCCACTGAGCCACCTGAGTGGCATCATCCATCACCTTTTCTGGGTTACTCTTTCCACTGGCAATGGGTGCACACGCAGAGAGCTCCGTGTGCCTGCTCAGAACTGGGTTCCTTTGCTTCTGCCTATGACAGGATGCAAATGTTGCCTGGTCAATATTTCCCCAACAGTAGCTTGGGGAAGGAGTTCTTGGATCCAAAACGTCTGCACCTGAACAGAGCTACAGAGCTCTTCCCTAGAAAAAGCAGGCTGGGGGAAGGACAGGCTTTTTCATTATTATTATTTTATTTTAATCTGCTCAAAGGGAGAAAAAGTTTAAAAGAAATTAGATCAGAAGACATTTTCTTTTAATAGAAACCAAATCCAGTTTCAAAGGCACAAGGCACACGGAGCAGATGATCTGTCCAGACGGTCTCCTGAGGATGGACACCTGAAAAGGCTACAGAGCCTGGCCTGCGAGGGAGGCCGGAGCAGGGCCGTGCTGCAGTGTTTCAGGACCCAGACAGTGGTCAGGCGAAATATGTGCTTCACTGTGTACTGTAGCAGAGAAGCAGCGTGGAGAGTTACAAAAAGATAGATAAGATTTCATATGAAGAAAGGTTAGCTTTGTAGCATCCCCCCCCCCAAAAAAAATCTGGGATAAATGTGCCCCAAGGTTCCCAGCAGGTGTCTGAACCTAGGAGAGTGCTGACACACTTGCCTGTGCATGCTTGCATATGATCTAGTTTAATTTATAGGTTAGGCACAGCAAGAGATGGTCAATGTGCCACACTGAGAGTTAGGCGATGTGGAGCCTAACTGTGTGCAGAGACTAAGGACTGTGCTGGTGCTTTGAGAACACAGCTGAGTACCAGAGCCAGGCACTAGAAAGCAGGGAGCTGCCTGGCTTTGTGTTGACCCCTTTGGAAGTCAAACCAGTGTTTAGAGCACCTCCAGTCTGGCCTGTTCTCTCAGGCTGTCACATGACAGGGAGGAAGGAAGCCCTAGGGATACCCTACTGCTGATGTCTCTATCGAAGCTCCTGCTATACTTGAGTTGGATGGCTAATTTCAACCCTGTCCTTCCAGAACTCTTAGACATGGTTAAAGAACTAACCGCATTTCCCAAGAACAGCGCTTGGTGACCAAATTATCCTGATCATTGGTGTTAATATTCTTTTTACAAAGAATGCTTGGCAAATAGGCGCATGAATGTGAGAGCACGCTCCGAAGTTCCCTTAAAGGCCTTCTGTGAAACTGACCCACAAACTCTTGCCAGAAATGGCAAAAGACTCAAGGATGCAAAAGGACCACTCAGAATAGCCCATGGCAGCAGCTGTAAAATGGATAACTTAGCTTCATCAACATCTGAATGTATTTGAAAACAAATAGAAGAGTTCCCTCTGTAGAAATTAGGCCAATTGTGGTCTCTAATATCTGCAAGATAAGTTGGCTAGTTGGAAGATAAGTTGGAACCTGCACCATTTGGGGCTTCGGTTACGGCACAGCATTCACAACATCATGAACTGAATCATGGATGTTGGCTCTAACCTTAGGACACACGTTTATCAGGTGTTTCTGGGGAATTTGAGTTGAAGGATCTTAGGATGCAGAGGTATACTCTGGCTTACTCTTAAATGGTTTGAGGGTATAATGAAAGTATCCCCAGAAAGGTAAAAGGAATAAAATAGTAAAATGTTAGTTAGCGTGTCAGGAAGTGTGCCTTGGAGACTTCTAAGTCTGAAGTCACACAAAAACTGTTTAAAGAATTTAAAGGCTTAGGGTTGGGGCTATCACTGATTATTCTGCATGTATGTGTGTGCACGTGTGCCCCAAGCATGCAGAGGTCAGATGAGGGCGTCAGGATCACAGGAGCTGGGCTTACTGAAGGTCGTGCGCCTCCATGTGGGTGCTGGGAATAGAACCTGGGTCCTCTGCAAGAGCGGCAGTGCTCTTAGCTGCTGAGCCGTGCCTCCATCCCCAGCAGCAAGAGCTTTCAGGCAGATGCCACTTAAAAATAAGCAGCAGGCTTCAGTCTCTGAGCACAAAGGCCGGTGTGAAAAATCACATTCATCTCTGTGCGGTTTTGACTCTTTTGTTAAAATGGCCACTGAAAAGCAACAACAGAAACTCAAGCGGTCACTTTGGGCTAGGGTAATTTGACGAGCATGCAGGAAGCCATGGGTTCAGTCCCTAGCAGAGCAACAGTTGTTGCTAATTAATTAAATGTCATGTCCTTTTTTTTAGTGCCTCTCTCAGTCTCTTTCTTTTCATTAATTTATTTAATCACGTTACAGTTTGGTTGCAGGCCCCTCCCTCCTCTCTTCTCAGTCCTACTAGCACACAAACCCCTCTCTATTTCCTCCTCCTCTTCTTGAAGGGAAGCTCCCCCCATGGGTACCAAGCCACCCTGGCACATCAAGTCAGAGCAGGACTAAAAGCATCCTCTCCCTCTGAGGCCTGACAAGGCAGCCCAGCTAGGGGAAAGGGATCCAAAGGCAGGCAGCACAGTCAGACAGCCCCTACGCCAATCATTAGGGGACCCACATGATGACGAAGCTACACATCTGCTACTTGTGTGGGGGTGGCTTAGGCCCAGCCCTTGTGAAATGTCATGTCTTTATTGTCCCTTCATAGCATGTCTCCTATGAGTCAGCCTTTCAAAATATTGGCTGTAAACTATCACTCTCTCCTTTCCTGCTAACTCCTTCCTCCCCACCCCCACCCTGTCCTGCCAACTTTTCCCCTTGTCCTGATAGCTCCTCCTTCTGTCCCATGGGCCCCTCCCTCTTTTTCTGCTAACTCCATGCCTTTAGGTGCTCTTAAGAATTGATGCAGTGAAGATGGAGACAAGTTAAGAGCCATTCTCTGCCAACACTGGCCATCTTTCCAAAGAAGCGGTTGCTTGTCATCTAGGTCTGCCCCGTAGTCAGTGTCCTGCTAGAACCCTCGGTCACAGCAAAGCACTCTTCCTGGGTCTCCAGTGACTCTAGGAGGATTCTATCCCCCTCCTAGAAGCAAATGTCACCACTTCCTTCGGGTGAAGCCTCAGCAGAGGCTCGGGACTTGATCCCAACTGTGGTGAAAGAGAACACACTCAGGAGCTAACAGATGCTTACACGCTAAATGGCAGGATGAAGTAGGAGTGGCTGTGTGTGCCACTTATAGGAGCTTGCCCGTGGCCCGCCGGGAGCCCATGGCATATTCTTTGCAAACAAACAAACAAACAAAACCCCGCCTTGCTAAAGAGGTATTTATTGCAAGCTAAGCAATTCTGTGACCCTGACTCACTGTTTTCACCTCTGTGAGTTTGCCTGCTAGCCCAGAGTGGGAGAGGGAGAAGGGGAGGGGGCTGTGTGCACATCTACTTATTTAGTGCCTCCCCTCCTACCTGAACAAACTCCAGGAGAGCAGGAAGCTGGCAGTGTCATGCGGGAGCAGAGAGCAGGCACTTGAGTCCAGTGTGGTTATGTCGCAGCACGAGTGAATGAATGAAACCGACTCAGAGCCACTAACCAGTACACCGTTTTTCGTTCTTTTTCTGCTGTGCTGTAGTTGCAGAATTAAGAAAAATCTTCGAACCAAAAAGGAAAGACTTTTTAGAAATGAAAAGGTAACGAAGTTGCGGCGGGCCGCTGGTGGGGGGAGGCGTTTACCACGGCAGTGTTGGCTCTTCTGCCCACGCTGTGCTTTCTTTCCCTTGGTCTGCCGTGCAGAAAAGAAAGAATTGCCAGGCGCCTGGAAGGAATCGAGAATGATCCCCAGCCCATCCTGTTGCAGAGCTGCCCAGGGTTGGTGACTCATCGGCTGCTGGAGGAAGATACTCCCAGATACATGCGTGCCACAGACCCCGCCAGCCCTCACACTGGTGAGTAGTGACCCTGCCAGGCGCTTGCCGGGCCACAGCATGACCCTCATGGTCCTTTGGTGCTGGAGAAGGAGAAGCTGATACCCCAGTGGAAAATACCAAAGCCGTGCCAGGAAGGAAAAGCTTATGTTGGCTCACAGTTTGAGGGGACCATCTCCACAGTGAAGGCCTGGCATTGGGGTTAGGGAGGGAGGAAGCTGGTCACATACACCCACAGTCTGGAGTCGGGGGATGGGAGCTGGTGCTGCTCCCCTGACTTTGTTCTTTTTCAGCTTTTTGTTCGGTGAGGGATCTCAGCCTCTTTGGTGGTACCACCCATATCAGGGTCGGTGTTATCCTCTAGGTTAAACCTCTCTGGAAATGACTCTCAATCCAGTCAGGGTGGTGATGAGTGTTAACCATCATATCCAACCACAGCACATGTATATTACAGCTTCTTAAGTATTCTGGCCATCAGACCTCTCTAGACAGGGACTCATCAGGGGTACGTGCCCACCTCTCCAAATACCCTCATGACTCAGCCCAGAATCTGCTGTCAGAAACTTGGCAGCTGTCTGTCTGTAAAGGAAGGATTGAGATATGTGCATCATAGGTTACACTAAATGCCCAGGAAATGTACATGAACAGGAAACGCGAAGAGAAAGCTAGGCTCTGGATGATTGCGGTTAGTATCTCAGGATTCACGCAGCAAGGCCTTCCATTTTCATCTGTGTAAATGTATTGCATATTGATTTTCAACATGCTGAGCATGACTTGGCTTTTCCTTCATCGCGCCCAGTCACAGCTATGGACATTGGTCGCCACACCTGACCTCAGAGAGCACAGTACTCTCAGTGCTGAGCTTCCTGGCTCAGCCCTAGGATCAGGCCCTGAGGTGCTTCCTTCAGCCACTGTTTACCAGTCTCCTCTTCAGAGGGGGCTGGAGATCTCATGGCACGATGCTACAGTTTGATAGCATCTGTGGTTTTTGATAGGGCGCTACATGAAGAGCCAAGAATAGATAAATCTACCAGGATCTTAACCCAGAAACAAACATCTGCGTGTATGTTTTTATCCATACAACACATAACTTAAACATCAGATGTAGTGAGTAAGAGAGGGTTTTTTTTTTTTTAGGCATAAGTTATGTAGCCAAGGCTGGATTAAACTTGCTCTTTTCTTGCTTCGGCCATGTGCTGTATTATAGACATGTCCAACCCAGAAAGAATTATTTAATAAGATATTGGGAACTGAGTTAGCCAAGAGATAAAGAAAGAACCCATTCCTCTTTCCATTTCATACACACCCCAAAGTAAATTCTAGTTAGTCTCATTACAAGTCAGAAGAAGTCATGGGAAACTTGAAAGCGCAGGCATGTACTTCATTCAAGTGGACTGAAGAGGAACAGTTGAAGAAATCTCCAAGTGGTGAATGAGTCAGTATTACTTAGAGCAGTGTAGAAATTAATTTCACAGCCTAGCAAGTGACTTAAAGGTCTCAAATGTTCTCATAAATATTCAATGTTTTGATGTGTGTGTGTGTTTGCATGTGTGTGGGCAAGTGGGAAAAGCCACAGCTATAAGAGCAGCTACCACACTGGGTAGTCTGAAACCACAGCCCATCTCTTGTTCAATCACAGAAAGTCAGATGTCTGCTGTCTTTTCCAGAAGAACCTGAACTTGGCCTTTGACCCTGTGTGAGATGATAAACTCAAAACCAGAGCATAACAATAAAGGGGAATAAATGCTGAGCAAGGCGGGAGGCCCCTGGGAGTGCTGGGTCTGAGAACGTGTGGCTCTCTGCTTTTGCACTTTTCCTGGAAGACCCCAGGCTCTTTCTGACAGTGAACCTATGTGATGCAGGGCCTTCAGACTGGGCACTCTGTGAGGGCAGGGCAGCGTGGAGGGCTCTGCCTGGCCTCCTGTGTTCTATCCTGTGCTCTTCTTGTAGGACGATCCAATGAAGAGGAAGACACTCCTGCGTCTTCCCTAGAAAAGCAAACTCCATCTAAATACTGCACAGAAACCTCGGGCATCCATAGTTCCGGCTCCATGGACAGCCACAGCCTAGAGTCCAAAGCAGAAAGGATCGCAAGGTATAAAGCAGAGAGGAGACGGCAGCTAGCAGAAAAGTATGGGCTAACTCTAGACCCTGAAGTCGACTCTGAATACTTGTCTCGATACACCAAGTCTCGGAAGGATCTGGATGCAGCTGAGAGACGAGGAAAAAGTGACAGGCAGGAAGAACAGAGCAAGGATACCAGTTCCCAGCACTCCAGGACTGAGCCAGGGCCTAGGACCAGCGTGGTGGAGTCCCAGGACTGTGCTCCCGTAGGAAGCCCCCGTGTGTCAGACCACGAGCGGCTGCTCAATGTGGAGAACAAGAGAAGAGCCCAAGAGACACCCATGGCCGAAGATGGTTCCCCTGCCTTCTTTTCTGAGCGAGGTACTTCCTTTCCGGAAGTGCCAAGATCCCCAAAGCAGATACCTAGCTCACCACTACAGCAGCCAGCCTCCCCAAGCTACCCTGGTGACCTGCCACTGCCCACAGAGGCCCGAGCCAGGTAAGCACCCAGCACCTGTTCTTCCTTGGCTGTCACAGATGTCCCTGCGGGCCTCCATCCACTGCAGAGATATTTTGTAATCTCTGCAGTATCCCAGCAGGTCCTACCAGAGCTAGAAGTGGTCTCCAAGTCCTCCGTCTCCCCTCTCCTTTTTCACTGCCTTAAGTTCTCTTTCAAGCAAACTAACAGGTGTCGTGGGGACACTTTACACAGAAGCCCCAAAATCTTTCTATGTTTCTGACCCAACCTAATTTATCCTATTGTTTGCTTTGTGGTTATGCCTAAGACTTCAGTTTTGAGGGGATGCGTTTGGTGGTTGATGCCTAGAAGCGCAAGGCAGGAAGAGACACAGTAGCAGGAGTGGAATCTCTGTTAATGGTGTAGAGTCTAACTGATAAATACTGAAGGTCCAGTAAGGCATCGCTACACACACACACACAAACACACATACAACATATATATATATTCATACATATATGTATGTATGTACACTTACATATATATTGTGAATGTATGTATATATGTGTAAATGTATATATGTATGTACTGTATATATATATATATGTAGTAAGGAGAGCCACATGAGAGATAGCCCTGGATAAAAGGACCAGCCAAACACAGCAATAGTTCCTGTGTGGGAAAATTAAAGAAGTCAAATATAAACCCCAGGAGTCAGATAACAGGAGAGAATTAGTGTTTGTTTCTAAACTTATGTTGAAAAAAAAATTGTTATTCATGTTAAAACGCTGCTTGCTTAAATACCTGGCTTAAAGGGTCAGGCTGAATGTCTGGGTAGATTCCTAAACACCCTTTTCAGTTCGAACAAGCAACGGCTTTGTGGGTGACATGAGAAGGGCTGAGAACCTGGAGTCAAGCAAATTTATTCTGGGGGAAAAAAAATGCACGTAACACACAGATATGTGTACATCTGTATGAACACACACACACGTGGACATCTGTTTATTGCGTTCATTTTGAGGACGTGTTGGGAGCATCCCTGGTTGGTTTCCCTGGGGCACAGTGTACACACCCACGCCCTCTGACGCGGCAGTGATGAGCCTGAGGCAGGCATTCTAAGTGCTGAAGTCCTGTAGGCCCCGTGCCCGTCATCCTGGGTGGAGTGTGATGCAGGCTCAGATGCTTAGCTACCAGCTGCTAAGATAATCAGAGTCTGTAAGTCCAAAGAGGTGTTTTCAGGGCCTTTGTTCAGCATTGGGACTTAAATGCTGAGAAACGGAGGGACCCATTCCCACGTATTTTGTAGAGGGGTGCCTTGCCTTGAGGCACACATTTCATAGTGGAGTGCAGTGCTTAATTTAGCTAGTTCTGTAAAAGGAAATCCTGAACGTATTATTGTTATTACATCTCATTTATTTTGTCCATGTTCATATGCGAACATGTGGGTTTGTACTGTGACCTGTTGTGCTTGTAAAAGGCAAAGGACAGCCTGCTGGAGTCCGTTTTCTCCTTCCATCATATGGGTCTTGGTGATCAAACTCAGGTCAGCAAGTTTGGTAGCAAGCGCCTTTACCTGCTGTGCTGAGTTGCCAGCTAGCCCCCTCCAGATGTTTCGCATAGAGAGCAAAGAAACCCAACAGATGCCAACTTAGAAAAACACACATCCATCTAAGCAATGAAGACCCTAATCTCAGATTTTCCTATGGCAACTGTTTGCTGTCACGTTCTTGTGTGAAAAATGCTCTTGATAACAGTTTTAGGGCAGTATTTACCTATGTGATGAATTTGTTTGGGAATTATTTATTATTGCATAAAATGAGAAGGCTTTTAAGTTAAATGTTGGATAGAGGGATGGCTGGTGTAGGGGCCTTAGCTCATCCTAGCACATGCCTGGGAACTGTCGTACATTTTATTGTGAAGAGTACACATTCTAAGGAAATGGGGGACATAAGGCAGGCCCAGCCCCACTTTTCGGATGCTTTCAAACCCTCGGAAGTGCAAGTTTGGCATCATCTGGAGAAGGCTGTTCCTGTTCCTGTTCCTGGGTGAATTCAGCAAGGGTGAGTGTAGATACAAAAGTGTCAGTACTTTTTAACCAACAATACTGTATTATTGTTGCTGGGTATAGTGTGCCGGGTAATCTTGTGGATTAGTCAGGCTTACAAAATATGAGCACCTTCTTCTACCAAAGTCCTGAATCCCGAACTCTTGCTTAACCCTTTATGCAACTTCAAACTCTTGTTCAATCCTCTATGCATCTTTTATTTCCCTGTTGAGAGACAGGCAGACAGAAGCACATAATCGTTATTCTGTGAGGGGAAACACAGACACTCTCTACCCGGGGTCCCCAGCTGCTGTGGGCCTGTGGATTCTCAGCATGTCATATGACTAAAGGGAGGAGAATGAAACTCAGCTGGACACCCTGATCTGAGAGCCAACTCTCTAGACACACCTAGTTTGTTACCTCTTCATCGTTACACTTTAGTCCTTCCCCAGCCCTGCTCCTCCCAGACTGTGTCCTGAGTGGCTGGAACCTGACAGTGAAGATGCCATGGAGAGCAGGGCTGACACCTGACCTTAGAACCGTTGCCCTTGGTGGATTATGGCCTGAAAAGGGCCAGTCTTGGGCACCTGGGCACAAGTAAATCGTACCCCCTTCCCTGAGACAGGATAACACTTTATAGCTCTGGCTGCTCTGAAACTCCCTATACAGATCAGGCTAGTCTATAGAGATGAGCTAAACTCTTACGGACATCTACCTATGTCTTTCTCTGTAGTGCTGGGATTACAGCCGTACTCTTTTACCTGCCGTGGTAAGATTTTGATGGCCTGGCTTGTCTTTGTTATTTTTCAGAGCTAATCTGGCTTTGTATCCTGTATATACCAGAAGCTTAATAAATGTATGTCAGACACACACACACACACACTGTTCTTGAGAAATGCTGCTTGTGAATTCAGCAACATAACAGTGTGTGTGTGTGTGTGTGTGTGTGTGTGTGTGTGTGTGTGTACAGGGCAGAGCATTGTAAGCAGGTCTCAGATCTGTTTTCGAAGGAGGAGTGTCCTGTCGTTCCTCACAGATTCGTTCTGTTATGCGGGAGCGATGCTCATGTCTTACTATACCAGATATCTGTGGTTCAGCCTTACCCACCAACTTTGGCTGCTGATACGTGGTTAACTTGTTCCTTTCTTCAGTTCATTGTATCTTTACTGGCAAGTGGCAGTTCCGTTGAGTTAAGTATGAATGTGTTTCCTAAAATGTCAGCCTGTAATATATAGCAGCCAATGTGTGCATGTGAGATTTCAGTATAAACCGTGTCTAGGGTTTTGGCCATCACTGAAACCACACTGGTGTTCAGAGCCACAGTCTCCCACACAGGACTCTCACTAGTGAGTGAACTGAATGACGCACTAGAATCCCACCCTTCTGGAATCAGCTGCCTTCGTGAGGGTGCTGCCACAGAGGTTTTGTTTACTTGTTTTCCTTTACTTTTGCAGCAGGGTCTCACTGGGTAGCTCTAGCTAGCTACAGAGGGGGAATTCTACTTCCTGGGAACCCAGTTCTCCACTGGCCAATCACACTTGAAAAGCCCATCCAGTCACCTGGGGTTTCTGCTTCCTTCTTCTTCCTCTGGACCCTGCACTGTCCTCTCCCGGTGGAGGTGGCCTCTGTACAACAGAATTGAGGCTCACTCCTGAGGCTCCCAAGTGAATCTTAAGTCTGGAGAATGTAGCTCAGTGGGTAGAGTGCTTGTCTGATATGCATGATGCCCCAGGTTCAATCCCTGGCACTGCATGAACCATCACTTATGGTTTGTGCTGTGCTGGTTCATGCCTGTAATCCTAGAACTGGGGAGGTTGAGGCAGGAATAACAGCCATTTGGCTACACCGTGGTCACTGCACGGATTCAGCAGTGGCTCTCTGTGTTTCCCTTGTAAATCGTTAATAAGAAGATACAGTCTGTAGTGTGTTGTTCCCCCGTGGCTACTTTACATCAACAGATTTTCCTTGCCTGTTGCTTTTATCAGAAGCATCTCAGCCTGGTCTTAAGGACTCCGGCACATTCCAGCCTGCATTGGGTCTGATTGAGTTGAGGGACAAATGTGTAAGCCAGATGCTTTCCTAAGGGATATGGGACTTGTTCCTGGTGAGCATGAACCCTCTCCATGCTGCTGCACTTTGTACCTAATAGGAGTTAAGTAGACCTTTGTCTGAGTGACCCAGGTTGCAAATTGACATTTGTAACTGATAAAAAAAAAAAAAAAGAAAGGTAAATATATAAAAGAGATTCACTCTCACCAAGTTTCTTTTTATTTACTTCCTTTGTTTGGCATGTATCCTTTCACATGGACAATTTTTAGAATTGTCTGTTTATCTGTGTACCTCTATGAAACTTATGGACGTTAAGTCGCCATAAATTTTATTTCCAACTTCTCACAAGTGGAAACACAGCGTGACTGTAACAGACTCTTCTGTGACTAAAACCCATTTTTTTTTTCTGGTGGCCTTGGATTTATTTACTTTCCCTTCTTGTTTTTTTTTTTGTAGAGAGTCAAATGACCAAAAAAAAAAAAAAAATTTCCAAGAAGTGAATTTAAACTCGAAAGTACCTTGTACTTAATGTCTTTTTAGAAGCCTGCTTCTAAAATATCTATTACCTAAAAGCTACCTTCGGGTGTTGCTTACAGTAAAATGATGTGGGCGTGGGCATTGCCATTTGAACTAGCAGTGTGCTAAAGTTTCGTTTCTTGTGCATGGCAGTACAGGGAAGCCCACGCATGAGTGGTTTCTGCAGAAAGATTCCGAAGGGGATACACCTTCACTTATCAACTGGCCTTCCAGGTACATCTCAGGTTGGAAGTGTGTGGCTGACGCACTGCGGTGCTCTCCTGCTCCTGTTGCCTCTCCTTGCCCTGCCACACTTAACTAACACTAGTGCTGCTCTTCCCTCTTTGCAACACCTCTGAAAATCACCTGTTCAAAAAGAACACATGTGCCTCCTAATCACGAGTGTTCCTGGACTGCCCTGTCCACACTGACAGTATTCTCCTTCCTGGTTCATTTTTCTCTAACTTAACACACACTTCCTTGCTTGCTCACTTTCTCACCAACCCGCTACGGAACTGGCCAACAGAAGGCAGTAATGAACCCCTCCTCCGGGGCCATTCTACCCTGCCCACACCCCTTTTCTGCACCAACTTCAGTTTCCTTGTTCCTAAACCAGTGGCTAATTTTCAATAGTTAAATTTAGGGCATGCGGCCTAAGAGCAGACAAACACTCCAATCATTTCATGATGGAGAGAGGCGGAAGAATTAAGAATGAACAAGTCACTGGCCAGACAAAGGTCCTGTGTACTGAGTTTGACAGTGACTTTGTTCTCTTGAGATCGCCTCAGACAAGGACCACACATTCTCCAGGGAGCCTGCCTGCAGCTCGCTGTCCTGGCCAGTGCCCTCCAAGGCTGCCTCTTCTCAGACAGCGGTGGCTCAGAGTGTTTCCCCAAGCTTAGTGACTACCTTTATGTGTGTCTTTGATGTTTCCTCGGGGAAGTCTACCGACGATGCCCTATTTGAAAGCAGAGCATGTTTCATGAATGTGATAGGGCAACCTAGGCCTAAACAAGGTGATTCTAAAATGTGTGTATTATAAACAATCACCTTTGCTCACTCCTCCAAGTGAAATGAAAGTTTTACATTTTCCCAAGAGGTCTGTGTACCTTTTGAAAGTTGTGTCTATCTGGCCAGCCGTCCACCTCAGGTCAAATGGCTTGCCCTTTCACACGGTACAGGCTGGCATTTCAAAAAGAACCGGACGGGGTGCTCATCTGGGGAATGTGTCATCTTTGCTACGTAGGAAGTCTCGTGTTCCGCAGAAGCCTCAGTGCCTGTGGCACTAGTCCTTCCTCTCCCTGTGGTGGGGACCAAATACAAGGCCTCACACACGGGCAGCAGTGTCCCACAGTGCCCACTGTTTCACTGTAAAGGTGAAGCCCTGAGCTGAGAGGATAGGTGGGGCCCAGCCATGGTTCTGGGCCTCTGCAGAGCTTTTGAAATAACTTCTGTTTTGTTCTCAAATGTCTAAAACTTACAAAACATCAAACAATCCCTCCTTAGGTTGTTTTCTAATTAGGGTGTAACAGCACCGGGAGGGAGATGAGGGCCCAGGATTTTCCGAAGTACTTCTTCCTGATGTTGCTGTGAGGTATGGTGTCCAAATGGGCCCTGTCTCGTGGTCAGATGATGTAGTCGCCTTAGCAGCCAAAGCCTGTGAGTGTGTGCTCAGTGCTTCACAGGAGGTGATGCTAGCTCAGTAGAAAGCAGAAGTGCCCCCGCGTGGCCAGTGGCCAGTGACGTGGCTGTGTCTATTGCAAGAGCGTAAGTTTCCTCGTAGCAGCCAGCCACCCACAGCCCACGCCTGGGTCTAGGCCTGTGCACAGCATCCTTGATCCTCACACTTTCAGTGGTACATATGAGTAATGCCTCCTAGGGCTGTGAGGTGTTTCCTTAGAGTAAACCCGTTCTCCCCAGAAGAGCATGCGACCCTCAGCTCTGTAGGGAATGGAACTTTTGGGCCACACTAGAATATGAGTGCAAATTTGGAGATTTCCCTCCATTTCACCGGCAAGTGCTAGGTGTCAGTGTTCAGTGCCCAAAAGTGTTCTCACACATTCTCTCCTAGTTGGTTCCAGAGTCTGTGGTCTGTGCATGCTTGCTCCCCTCTGTTGATTACTGTACATCGAAACATAAATCCTATTTTTTTCTTAAGAGTTAAAGTTAGAGAAAAATTGGTCAAGGAGGAGAGTGCTCGCAGCAGCCCTGAACTCACTTCAGAGTCCTTAACTCAAAGGAGACAGCAGCCAGTACCAGCGCATTTCCTGTCTATCCAGTCAGAAAGCTCCGCCTTTCACAGGGTCACGAGCAAAGCTGTGAGCTCGCTGCGGCCAAGCCAGAGCTGTGTCCTGCCAGCTGACCCTGTTCATGCCATCAAGCTGGTGACCAAGGACACCCCAGAAAGTGCATCCGAATGCAGCTGGGTGGGACCAGCCACCCCAAATGTCATAAAATCTACCACCTTGAAGATTCTAGAAGGTGGTTCAAGGGATGCTCCCATCCTCCATATCTGTGAATCTAAATCAGGAGATGTGCTCTCCCCTGAAACTCTGGAGAAGAGCCCCAAATCACTCTTGACCTCCGAAGATGACAGGCTTGTGAGAGGCCACGAAGACCGCTCTGAAGATTTAGATAAGCCCACGGCTCGCTCCATCGCTGTAGGACCTGAGAGAGAGCGGCAAGTTCACCATCCGCCCACTCAGAGATCTGGCCGGAGTGAAATGGTTCTGTATGTCCAGAGTGGTCCTGTGTCCCACGATGCCACACTCAGCAGTCACACAAAGGAGGCCTCTCCAAAGAAGCGTAAGGTCCTGGCCCGCTCCCTGTCAGATTACACGGGTCCCCCTCAGCTCCAGGCCCCCCGACACAGGGATGCAGCCACAAAGCAAGAGCTGGAGCTGCGGAATTCCAGGGCAGAGGGGCCTGGTGCAGAAGCCGGCATGCTGGACACCAGAGTGTCTGTCGCCCAGCTCAGAAATGTGTTTCTGGAGTCGGCCAGAGCCAGCAAGAGACCTGAACTGTAGGTTATGTTCCCGACGGCCTTCCAATATGTCATTTGCACGTCCTTGGCAGACGAGTCACTTCTTCACCTGCGGTGTGTCCTGTTAGCTTAGCTCACAACTGTGTGCAGGGCAGAGTGTACAAGAAATGGCTCATACACTACCATTCTGCTTCTGCCTACTAACGGGGATCTGGAGGAGCGGGTCTGTGGAACGTTACATGGAAATGTGCATGGAGGTAGCATGTAGACCCGAGCACTCTGTCATGACTCACGGAAATGCATAAACCTCTCCTCTCTCTGTCTCTCTCTCTCTCCCCCCCCCCCCGCCTTCTCCTCTCCCTTTCCCTGCCTTCTCCCCTCCTTCTCCCTGCCTTCTCCCCTCCCTCTCCCTGCCTTCTCTTCTCCCCCTCCCCCTCCCCCTCCCCGTCCCTCTCCCTCTCCCTCTCCTTCTCCTTCTCCCTGTATTACACTCACTGCCCTGTAGTCCTAAAAGCCAATCCCGGGTTGAGAGGTCAGCTGAAGGAATTGGCTTGCCCACGGAACAGGAGAGAGGGTCTCGGAAACCAAGACGCTATCTTTCTCCCGGTGAAAATAGAAAAACTTCTGAACGATTTAGAACTCAACCTATAACATCAGCCGAGCGGAAGGAATCAGATAGGTAGGCACATGTGTGTACTACTAGCAGTTCAAACATGAGGAGCCCACTACCCTGGCTGGCCCCATGCTATTTGCATAGGATTCCAGGACTATTCCATATCAGCTGGGAGAAAAACTTATTTTGCTAATGCAATGTATTTCCAGAGAATGTTGCTTTGTCTAACTAGCACCACTCTACAGTTCTAAACTGCCCGCAGATCAGGGGAGAAGAAGCTTTCCTTCGGGCTTTTGGTTCTTTGAATGCTTTTATCAAACTGGTGTCTGAACTGAGCATCTTCCACTGAGATAAGGAATTTTGTACTCTCCATATAAACAGCTTACTTTTTATGTTCACATTTTTGTATGACATGATCAGAAGCTAATGTGTAGAAACTGTGAAGTCCACCAGGAACGTGCCCTTAGTCCCACATAACTCCTTGTCAGTGCTACTTTCTCTCCACAAGGTGTGCACCAGGCTGGGGTTGTGTGTGCACGCTCCACAGTGTCAGCTCGCACTTGTTTGGTAGTTCCACAACCAGTGTGTGGTTTAAATCTTGAAGATGGTTCACTTGCATCTGTTTTCCATTCGGCATTATGTTTCACGGGCAGCTTGGGTGTCCACCACTAATCGTTGTCATTCTCTGTCCCTGTCTCTCCTAGGTACCCTTTGGGTTCAGACATGCCAGTGGCTGACGGCGAGTATCTCTTTTCGTTTTTATTCCTTCATATCTCATCCAGATGATTTAAGACAAGATTTGGGGCTTTGTGGGAGAGGAAGCCTGAAGTCTATCCGTTTCTTGCTTTCTTTCAAGTTGCCTTGCTGTGAACCCTTGCTGAAATTCTCAGATAAGCCTTCCCTTAGCTTTTGATCGAATTTAAGAAGCTTGTTCAGTGAGCAGTATGGAGCAGCCGTTGTGACTAAAGAAGCAGGTTTTACTGGTGACTGGCACTCAGCAAGGCAGTCTGTTCCTAGGGTCTGTTCTTAGACACACTATTAGAGTAGACATGGCTGCTGGGACACAGTTTGAATTGCGATGGGTGTTAGTGTTATTCCCCGAAGAGACAGCACAGGCTCCTCTCAGGGGAGAGCCCAGCTGTAATGTCAGCTCACCTCCTCTTGGATTCAAGCGATCGCCCAGTCAGTCTCGAAAAGCATTTCGGAGGCTAAGTGTGTACTTTCTAATCATGTTCAGTTTTTATTTCGTGGCTTTTACAGATGAAGAAAAGGTGGATGAACGGGCCAAGCTGAGTGTTGCTGCCAAGAGGCTGCTTTTCAGGGTAAGGCATGCCAAATGGTTTTGCTTAGAAATTGTAGCCCCGGGCCCTGGTACCTCACACCCTTCCCAGAGCTTCAGGGCTCTCCTTGCCTGTAGCTCCTGCTCTCTTCCCATGCTGAGTCAGTCAGGGCCCTTTACTGTAGCAGAGATCGAGGTGAGCACATCTTTCACATTTCGGCACACTGCTTCAGAGGTTCTGCTCTGTGAGCAGCTGGCTTTGGGCCTGGGATGGGTTAGCACTCTGCGACAGGAGCAGGTGGCAGAGGAAGCCGCTCACCACCTGGAGGCAGGGATGAGAAAGAGGAAGAGACAGAATTCTGGAACCTTCTCTGAGGGCTGGGAGACAACCTGACGCCCAGCCCCACCTCTCATTTTCCGAAGTACCTGGCTGGGACCGATGGCAGCATCAGTTGGCATTCTGGAATCACGACCTGTTTGGCTGGTCCGGGCCACCCAGCTGTCTGCAGTGTTCCCTTCTGATGGCGCTGGTGTCCCCTGTTGTCCCCTCCCGTGGCTCCTTCAGAATAGCAGTAGACACACACCTGTTGCTGCTGTTTTTTTTTCTTTGAATTCATGCAGATTGCACAATGTTTTCTAACTGCAGGAAATGGAGAGATCATTCGATGAGCACAGCGTACCAAAGAGGCATTCGAGAAATGCAGCCGTGGAGCAAAGGCTGCGTCGCCTGCAGGACCGCTCACACACCCAGCCCATCACCACAGAGGAAGTGGTCATTGCAGCCACGTGCGTCTCTGGGGGAGTTCTTAGCCTGGCCTGTGCTGTCATCCCCACAGGGACATTCAAGAATGCTCTATAAGGATGAGGCAGTTTTGCTAGAAGCCAGAGAGAGGCACTATCTCACACTCATTTTTGCTTTGGTTTTTCTGGGATATACATGTTATAGGTTACCTTTGAAGCATTTTAATCCTTGTGTTTTATCTTTCACAATGAAAATACCAAACATGAAAGCAGATGAACCGCAGTGAGCCTGACCTACGGCGGTTATCGGCTCCTAGGCCGTCACTCTCCACATCTGTTATTTTCAGTCACACCATGGACATTTGATCCTTAAATATTCTAGTACACGCCTCTCAGAGATAAGCCTTTATTTTGTTGTTAAGCCATCGTCAAAGTGTCTAAGAGGTAATTGGCAGGTAGGCACTTTTTAAACGAGAGGCCTGCACCAGGGCCATCTGCTCAGGTGTGCTCAGATCAGATCGCTGTGACTGCTTCATTCAAAATCAACTGAAGATCTGTTAGTTTAAAAATAGTCATTTCTGCGGAGGGGCGGCATCCCTGAGAACCTGGCTCTGCAGGTTTGCTGCTGGAACCTGCTGTGAGGTCAGCAGCCTTCCTGGGGTTCACCCACGCTGTGCATGCTGGGCAAGTGCTCTACCACTGAGCTGCACCCCAGGCTAGACGCCTTGATGTGTGGACGTGCACATCTGTGTGCTTAAAGCAACTCTCAGCATATCCATTTGTTTACAAAACAATTCCCTTGACTGGCTGGTAGACACTGTAGCAGCAGACACTTGTAAGAGCTTCACCGCGAAGAACACTGTAGGCTGTGGCTGGGCTCTCCTGACCAGCTGTGGTGGACACTGGCTTTTTAAATGACTTCTTAAAATGAGGCAGTTTTGTTGTAAGCTGACCCTTCAAGCTTATGCCTCTTCTTGTCCCATTTTCCTCTGGACAGCCTGTGCCTCCTTTTCCCTCCGTCTGTATTCCTTTCCCAAGTTCTTTTGCGACTCGTTTTCCCTCAAAGGTGTTTAACAAATATTTTTCGGTGAAATATTTGCTGTTTGCATTTCTGGATTTATAGCTATGCTTTCCTTAACGCTTCTTTTCTTCTCTCTCCTCATGAATGCTCCTCCTTTGGCCATTGCTTTTAAAGTGAACCTATCCCTGCTTCCTGCCGGGGGGTCACCCATCCTGTAATGGCGAGACTTCCTAGCCCCACTGTAGCTAGAGGCCCTGGGCAGCCCGCCAGGTACTGGACACACGTAGCTGCATGAAGCACGCAGTGCCGAGGTGCTGGGCAGTGGGGGCATCTAGAGCCTTGAGTGACTTTCATGTGTTTGACAAGTCAGTGCAGTGAGTGGTCCCGAAATGTTTTATACCGTGCAAGGTGCCATTAACTTCATGACTGTGTGAGAACCATACTTCATCTGCCTGCTTCCTGTGTTGGTGCTAGAATCACACTAACTCACTTACTCATCCTTTTCTTTTCTTTTTTTTTTTTACATAAAAATGGTCATTCTTCAAAAACTTATTTTTCATTTAAAATACTAACGGGTCAAGACTAATTTAAAAGTGGAGCATTAGCATGAATATTGAAGTGTTGGTAAGGTGTAGTTATTTTAAAAATATGTGTATACGCAAATCTAGACCTAAGCCAAATACTACTGTTTTCTAATTTAGAGAAAGGAGATGATGCCATTAGATTTTAAGCTTGGCTATAGATATTATAGGATTCAGTTTTAATTATGGTGTTTTAAAATTATGCTCATAAACCATATAAATATCCCCTTTGTCTTAACTGTGTTGAGCCAAAACACAAAAGCTAAAAAAAAGACAGAGATGTAAAATGACAGAACTAGAATAAACCAGCCTGATCCAGAAGCAGGGCTGTCTTGGGAAAGATGGTTTTTGCCCTTCCAGTTTGCACTCTTGGACCCCAGAAGGCTCCAATCCTCAGGCGTCCTCACTTGCCCGCTGTCCTCCTGACATATCTGGACACGGAGACTGGTGGTCTGGTCTGGTCGGATCAGTGCTCAGTAACAGCAAAAGCAGAATATCCTACAAGAGTGTTGCCGGGGCAGAGGTGGTGCTGTCTCCAAGACGTTTTTGAGAACCGCGCTGACCTCCTGGGCTGGAAGCCTCCTCCTCTCCCTGCTGTAGGAGCTATTATTATTGTTATTGTTTTCTAGCGCTGAGCATCATGGCCCTGCAGGCTTTGCCCATGCAGAAGGTCTGTCTACCTGCAGCTACTTGGCCTGCACATGCCCAGCGTGGTTTGGGGGAGGTTTAACCACCTGAAATTTTCTTCACCTTTCAAGCTACGGAGAATGAGATTTAAGTAACTTTTGAAACTGGTAGAAACCTGGGGTGGGGGAAATATATTTAAAAACCACGAGTTTGACAGAGAAAAAGCTGCTTCGCAGGATCTGTCATTGGCGGGAGACCATATTTCCCCCAACCACTCAAAATGAAGACAGCACCTCCCCCAGCTGCATCCATGGAGGATGTCTGCCCCGAGGGGTGATTTTCTGCCTTTGCCTGTCCTCCCTGTGGTGGGAGCCACCCGGGCTTTCCCTCTAGGAAGGTAGGTCCAGGCTGGCACTGGTGGCTTCTGCAGGAAATTTCCTTCATAGAAAGGGTTCACAGTTAAGAGCCAGCTGGCCCTGCTGCTCTCTGTCTCCTTCTGTCAGTAAACAGCTGCCTGCCCTCTCCCAGATCTACGGGGGCAGGACCAACCCTTGACAAAATAAGTGACATAGGTAGGAGAATGAACATGTGACCTGGCAGTGGGCTTCCGCTTGCCTTTCTCTTAAGGCTGCCTCTCCCTCCTCCCTTCCAGGTTGCAGGCTTCAGCTCACCACAAGGCTTTAGCCAGGGGCCAGGCAAACGAGGGCAGAGAGTCTGCCGAGCCAGGTGAACCTGATTCCTCCTCCTTGAGCTTAGCCGAGAAGCTGGCCTTGTTTAACAAACTGTCCCAGCCAGTCTCCAAAGCCATTTCTACCAGAAACAGAATAGCCGTGCGGCAGAGGAGGCTGAATGCCAGGTATCAGACTCAGCCGGTCACACTGGGAGAGGTGGAGCAGGTGAGTTCGTGCGATGTAACTCCAGTGTGTGTGTGTGGGGGGGGGGGGGGGGGGGGGGGGGGGGGGGGGGATGTGCTCTGAATACAGCCGCACAGTGTTGCTCTTGGGTTCGTGACACAGGACAGGGTCAACAGGCTTGTAAGCAGCCTCATCTCTAAGGAAGAGCCTCACCCGGGTTCGCTTTTCTTCAGCTGTCTTCATAGCTCCCTTGAGATAAGTCCGCTTCGGGGAGCCGGTGACGGCAGAGGCAAGCCGCTTCCTCGGAAGGTTGGCTCGCACTGTGTCCCGAGTGCCCCGCCGGGATGGTGGGCCTGCAGGCGGAAGTACAGGTGTGCGGTGCCCAGCTGTGCCCGCCACAGTGTTGGTAAACCGTGTCCCCCCAGGTGCAGAGCAGCGGGAAGCTCATCTCCTTCTCCCCCACTGTGAGCACAGCTGTGAGCACGCCTGCAGCTGCCCCCACGTATGCCGGGGACCTTCGCACGAAGCCGGCTGCTGAAGACAGTGTGGCCGCCCCTGACTATAAGTCCCCCCCTTGCTCGGAAACGTCGGACTCTCCGGTTAGAAGCATTCTCAAGCCACAAGCCTGGCGGCCTCGCGCAGAGCGCTGTGGGAGCGAAGGAATGCTGGGGGAGTGTGCAGAGCCGGAGAGCAGCAACGCTCTGACCTCGGGAGACAGCGACATCCAAACACGCGGGGCCTCGGAGGAGGAGGCTGGGCCCTCCTACCCCATCCCTGGTAGAGTCAGCGGTGGTGCTGGGCAGAAGGAGCCAAAACACACCATCCTGAGGAGAGGAAGCGCGGAGCTTGGTCCTCCTGTCGCCCACCTGGGTGATGAGCTGAAGGGATCTTCCACTGCTAAAGGCAGTTGGCAGGAGACCCTGGACCAGGAGGATAAGCAGGCCTTGGAGGAGAGCTCGGATGTGGGGAATGTCACGAGGAAGTTCTCGCTTAAAGGTAAGGCAGCTCCCAGGCTCTCTGAGGCTTTGCTGTCTGGCAGACTCGTGAATTAGGACTTGAGTGAGCCTAGTCCTTTCCCCAGATCCCTCTTCCCCTCGAATCTGACAGGTCAGTGAACTGATGGTGTCAGCAAAAGTGGCTGTAGCTCTTAACAGCCCTTGGTTGAGTGTTTCAGGTGACCAGTGACATTAACGTACACGGTAGCCTTCCGAGCGCTGAGCTGTGGTGACTCCTTTTATTAAAACCGATGGCACAAAATTCCTGCGCTCAGCAAGCACAGAGAACAAGGACTTGAACCGGCCAGGTTTCCAAACTCTTCGTGCTTCCTGACCATACAGTTTAGTGCACTGTCTGCGCAGACACCAAGCTGCTTCCATTTGCACACACTGAGAGTTGTCAGTTGAGACAGGCTTGGGCTGTGAGTTCAGCTCACTAGAAATGAGGGTGCCGAGTTCGTCGGCAGCCCAGCTGGCTCAGGCTGTTTCTCTCAGTGGGCTGCACTGTGGTTCTGCATAGAAGGCCTGGGGAAGCTGCCCTGTGCCCGCAGCCGGACTCTGGTGCTGTACTGTGGGGAGGTGTACAGCTGGGAAGATTCTGGGGTGGGGGCGGGGGGAGCGATTCTGACTCCCTCTCATTCTCAGAGTTTGGAGAGCCTGCTTCTGAGCAGGCGGCGCCGGCTGCCGGGAAAGCCTCCATTCAGATGGCAACACTGGGGTCCTGGAAGCAGCAGGATCCTTCGGAGCAGATAGCAGAGAAGCTCTTCAAGAACCCCTCTGCCATGTTTGCCGCCGGAGAAGTCAAAGTGCCAGCAGGCGAGACTGTCCTGGATTCACCCAGCAAAACCATGTCAATCAAAGAAAGGTAGGCAGGCCCCTCTGGTGACTGGCAGGTAGAATTGGGAGGGGCTGTGCCATGATGCTAAAATAACCCTGGGAGGCCAGGCCATAAGGACATGAGCTGCACCTAGCTTAGCAGTCCAGAGGCTGGGGCGCCTCATTCGTCCATGACCTGTGTTTCTATTCCGTGTCCACTTCTCTGGGAACCAAGACCCAGCCTTGTTCTCCTGAAGAAACATCAGTCTGCAGGTACAATCACCCTCTGATTGTCTGGTAAAATAAATACAGGATGAAGACAGATAAAGTCACATAGAGGGTCAGTGTCTTTGAGATTAGAATCTGTTTGGTATGTTTTATAGGAATTAAGATGAATTGCTTTTTTCTAAATTTTATTGTATTTATTTATTTATTTATTTGTGTGTGTGTGTGTATGTGTGTGTGTGTACTTACACGTGTGGTACAGAATATGTGAAGGTCAGTGGACAACTTGTAGAAATGCAGAAATCACTTCTTTCCTTCCATTACATGGGTTCTGAGATCAACCTCAGGTGTGGATCTTGGTGTGCTGAGCCATCTCACCAGCCAAAGATGGATGACTGTTCTGAACACTTAGAAATTTTCTCTTTTCCCTCCTTCCCTCCCTCTGTCCCTCCTTCCTTTCCTCTATCTCTCTATCCCTCTGTACCTTCCTTCTTTTCTAACTTCTTCACTCGCTCTCTGTCTCCTGTCTCCCTCTCCTCTTTCCTACCCCTTCTTCCTTCCTCTTCCCTCCCCTACCCCACCACATGCTGGTGATGTCACCCAGAGCCTTGTACCTGCTGGGCACGCCCTTTACCACCGAGCTCCAGCTCTGGCCCTGAAACTGTACATTAGGCAGCAGCTGTGAGAGTTCTTGATTCACCTGTGTGTTTTCAGTAAACTCTGGCTGATTTGTATCTTTCTGTGAGCTTTACCTTGGGAGAACTCCTCTGTTTAAAGCTGAGCTCCTGTGGAACATGGCTTCTTCACCGCGCTTTGTGGGCGAGTTAGAAGGTGATACCGTGCTTCTGTGACCTCCCTGGAAGTGAGTCCAGACACAGGCTATGGGTTTCTGCAGCTGTTGCCTCGCCCCTCAGGCAGATCTCTGACCCAAGTCAGGAATCCTGAATCCTGTTAGGAATACTTGCTAAATATTCAGCTACTTTGTTTCATTGTTAGCATATGCTTTTTAAAAAGACAAGGTCCCCTTATTTAGCAGTTGTATTGGCTATCAGAAACTATGTCAATAGGAAATATGTCACCCAAGACACCCTCTTCCTACTCCCTCCCCAGGCTTTGATGGTGCTTTTGTATGTACATCACTGAAAATACCCATGTGTCTATCTTTACCATTCAGGTGAGGAGGTCCCCTGAGTGTGCCTCTGACCCTTCTCTTTGTTAAATATGAAGTTTGACCTATTGAGAATAAGGGTGTTGTTCAAACATTTACTGGGGCTTTGCTTTCCTTTCCCAGGGTGACATATAAACTTCTAGGTCCTTCAAACCTTTCTTAGTCCAGCTATTGTGATGCTGCGATTTACCAAAAGAGGCATCTAAGTTAGGATTTCCATCTCTATAAAGAGATACTCTGACCACGGCAAATTTATAAAGGAAAGCATTTAACTGGGGCTGGCTTACAGTTAAGAGGTTTAGTCCGTTTGTCACCATGGCAGGAAGTACGGTGGCATGTAGGCAGCCATGATTTTGGAGAGGCAGCCAAGGGCTCTGCATCTGGATCAGCAGACAGCCGAAAGAGAGAGAAGCGCTGGGCCTGACTTGAGCATCTGAAACCTCAAAGCCCACACTGCCAGGGACACACTTCCTGCAATAAGACCACACCTACTCCAACAGGGCCACACCTCCTAATAGTGCTACTCCCTGTGGGGGATGTTTTCATTCATATGACACAGGAAGGACTGAGTCCTAGCACCCTCAACACTGAGTACTCAATACGCTGGGCAAGATCACAACCCCTGGGCTCATTTTAAAGAATGTGTTTGATGCGTAGGGAAGCACGTGCCCAGGTCCCTTTCCTCTCTTCATCTTTCTGACATGGGGGGTTAGGGTGTGAGTCTGAAGTGCCCCCATATACATACGAGTTTGGGCACATGGTCCCTGGCTAGTGACACTGTTCAGGGAATTCGTTGGGCAGGAGGCATGGATGACAGAGGTAAGTCATTAGAGGAAGACTTTGAAGATTGCAACCCAGCTGTGTGTCTAGTCCCATTCCGTGCCCTGGTCTGCTGAGGTGTGAGGAGCTCTGGCCACACACTCCCTGCCATGAGCTCTGCCCCCACCATGACAGGTTGTTTCCCTCGCAAACCATCAGCCGAGACCAGCGCTCCTGTAGGTTGCCCCCATTGGGTATCTTTGTTACAGCAATGAGAAAAGCAATGACAATGTCCAGAGCGTCCAGTTTGAACCATTGCCAGAGTGAAATCTGGGATTCTTTTTCCAGTGGATTAACCAAATGGCCTTTGTAAGGACTTTTTAAAACAGCATTATGAACCAAATAGCTCTATAAGCTAGAGAAGGACGCTTATGAAGTCCATCAGGCCTTTGCAAAGCCACCTCATCTGCCCTTTTCCACTCTGGGGAGAAGATGACGGAAAGGTGCGGAGAGCCGCCATTCCTGCTGTGGGTTAGCTGGAGTCCCTGAGCCCCTCTGTTGCTCTTCTGCACCCCACTTTGAGATGGAAGCTTTTAGCTCCCAGCAAGTCCTCATACTGCTGTAGAACAGAGAGAGGTTCTACCTTTATTTATCTGTCCTGATTCAGCTGTCAGTTCTGATGCTTCAAGGAGTATCTGGGGTTGAATACTGTGGAAAGCAAAACAATGTACTTGGCTCACAGTTGCTGAAATCAAAGACGAACATCAGCAGCCACACCAGGGCCAGGGCCTCTTGCCACCTTTGGACATGCAGGGAAGTTGGGGCTGACTGAGTCAGACCTTTCCTCCCTGTGACAGCTGCCTCAGAGGCCTGATCTGATGGAGAAGAGATTTACTTTGTCTGTCTCAAAGACTTCAGTTCCTGGTTGGCTAGAGAGCCAACGGAAGTGCGCCAGGGACAAGATAGCACCTGTAGGAACATTGCCACTACTTTCTCCCACTGGACCCCACACATCTAGAAATGACTACCACCTCCTAAAAATGCCATTAAATCCTGAATTGCCAGGGGGTGAATTCATGTAGTGAGGGAGCCTGGCCCCTAGTGCTCCCTCCAACTCTCCAGGACTGACTCCAGCTAGGGACCAGGCCTTCAACAGCAGACCTTTTAAAGGGCACTTCATGCCTGAGCTTTACAGAGCCAAAACACCTGTGCAGGGGCCACAAGCCAGAGAGGCAGCTCTTTGATCACCAATCCAGAGCATAAACTCACTCCCAAGAAAAAGGCAGCCATTGTTTTAAGTATCTCTTCATCCCCTGCAGGTCCACACATGATACCGCTGTATGGACAGTTAACACGAGGAAGCACACTGTGCTCAAACCAGAGCAGTCTCGAACTGACTAGACAAGAAGGGCTGGCTCAGTGTAGAGTGCATGCCTAGCAGCTACAAGCTCCAGCCTGGGTCTTCAGCACCAGAGACGTTCAAATACAAAGACAGCAAGGGCTTGGCTACACGGCTCAGCAGGCTAAGTGCTCGCTGTTCAAAGCCAAGGAACTCAGTTTGAATCCCTGGCATGAAGGTAGAAGCTGGGCGTGGAGCACACATCTGTGACTCCAGTGCTCACAGGTGAAGGCAGGCAGATGTCAGGGCTCACACACACACACACACACACACACACACACACACTCATGCATACTGCATAACATCAGAAGAAAAGAAAGAAAAAGGAAGGAGGAAAAAGAAGAAAAAGAATCATAACTAGAGGCTGGAGCCAGGACTCAGCGTGGAGCACGTGTTTAGATGTACGAGGTTCTGGGTTCAGTCTTCAGCTCCAGATAAGAACCAAATGCAGACCAATAGCTTGTTATTAGTAGTTAACTCTTCTGACTTCCTCATTAGCAAAGACCAGAATCTATGCAGTCACTCATCAGTGCTGCTCAGCCCAGGTCCATGATGCTTCTGTTTCTCTGAAATGTCTCAAGAGGAAATGCAGATACCTTAGTTGATATTAGGGTCACGTGGTCTGCCTGTCCCCTGCTTGACCCAGCCCTGACAGTTATGAGCCTGGAAAAACTTGTTCTCATTATCCAGCAGGCTCTGAAGCCTGCTGAAGAGCAGGGGCTGTGGCAGGAGCTGTAGACATTCCCACGGCAGCCTGGTGAGCACATGTCCCGTTGGCCCCGGGCCAGGCAGCCATGTTAGCAGGCTAATGCTATGCCACTCTTGGGGTATGGAGCCGCAGGCTAGGCAGATGCCCCAGCCCTCCATATCACAGCCCACAAACAGTCCTCAGACTTGGCAGAGGTTAAAAGCGCTGACAATTGTTGGCACGGCACAAGGGGATTTACATCACATGTCAGCCCAGACCTTAGCCCTCTGCAGTGGTGATGAAGGAGGGACTGTGAGATTGCCATAGTAGAGAACAAGACTAGACATACCTGCTACCCTCCCCAGCTTGTTGAACACCAAGTAGGAAATGAGAGGGGACAGCATGACACACGCAGATTCACTGTGTGTTATTATGAGGTTATTCATCATTTGCCCTCTGGGAGGGCCGGGCCAAGAACTGTGTGGGCTCAGCTGAAGCAGCTTCTCCCTTATTATTTTGCTTGCTCTGGGGTCTCTGAAAGTTTCTAATGTGGAAGGAGCCAACATATTGAGAAGCAAATTACCAGGGCCTTAGAATGGCATCTGGATGGTTCTGAGGAAGTGATGGGACAAGGGAGAACATTACGAGAAACGTGGAAAGCTCTGCTTTTCCGGACAGACATAGGCACTGTGTGCCTGCTCAGTGCCACTTCTTGTGGGAGGAAACAGCCGGGACTTTGAGGGGCAAGATTTGGAATCACACCACCTCTCCCAAGAGCATTCAGTGGACCCTGGCTCAGTGGGACCTTGACCTGTCTGCACCTGCTTTCGGACTCTGTGTGATGAGAACACACATGCGGTTCTCAGAGATGTCTGTGCACATCAGGGGATTATGAGGAAGGCGACAGCGATTCTAGATTGTGCAGTTTGCTTTTTTGTGAATTAGTCTCCTGTCCGTCAGAGCAGCCCCAGGGGAAGCCATGCTTCTGTTAAGGAGCGTTTGTGGGCTACATTGTCTGCAATGGTCCGCGCTCCTGAGGGTAAGGACCAGGGTAAGGGTTTGTGCTCTATAAATCCAGTTTGGTGGAGGTGAAGCCCGAGAACGCCTGCTCTGAGTCAGAGGTAACGTGAGGGCGGCTGGTTCTTAGAGCAGTTTGCAGGGTGCGTGGAAGTGTGGGTGCCTCCTGCAGGCGATGCTTGGGCGTACCCCTCTTTGTGTATGAAGGCCCGGTACTCTAGCTAGCTGGAAGACATCCCCTGCCACTTTCAGATTTCACAGTTGTGATTATTTCTTTTAATAATTGATTTTTTTAAGGTCCTTGTTGCACTCAGATAGGCACATTCAGAGTAACGGGGGAAGAATAAATAATAGTCATTTGATAAGAACTAAAGTTAAGATGTGAAGAAATTCAGATTTTGTGTTCAGATACATGAAGTAGCCATGTTAGCATTGTAGAACCATGGAAGTTAAGATTCAGTGATACCTGGAGCTATGTGAATCTGATTACATATTAGATCAGCAAGGCGGTCTCATTTGTTGCCACATAGGACTGAGAGGTGACGAAAGAAGGAAGAGCCTGAAGAGGGATAGACCCAAAGGGCAAAGTTCTGTGTCCCTCATGGAGTTCTTCAGAGCCTCTTTACATTGTTTGATAGAGAGACAGGAAGTCTAAAAGATGATGATGCACAAATATGATGGATTCTTGTTCAATAGAGAATTTGGTTGCTTATTTGCCCAGCAGACCTCTTTTATCATATGTAGTTCAGCAGTTGGACACTTGCCTGACAGGTTTGAGACCCTGGATTCCATCCAAGAAACACCAGCAAATGAGCGAACAAGCGTTTATCAGAGTGTAGGGCATCCTGCCTCCAGTTCAGTTACTGGATTGAATCAGGAAATTTAGCACTTGGGGTCTTGAAGAGCCCCTTATCCCAGTCACGCATGACAAACAAGGCAGGGAAGACAAGGTGCCTGAGGGGAGATCGTGACAGCTAAAGTAACCACTCTCATGGGTGGGACTGAATACCTGACAAGAAGCCACCGGGAAGATGGAGGAGGGGAGGGTAGAGTCCACTGTGGGGGACACACACAGAGGTAGCCGCCGTCCACAGAGACCAGGGCTTGTGCCATAGCTTGCTCATGTTTCAGAGGAAGCAGAACTCGTTAGCCAGTACTGGGGTCAGGCTACAGACCCCAAGTCCCGCCCCTACAGCTCTACTCAGCCGGCTGAGCCCCAGATCTGAAGGGTTCCACAACCTCCTCAAACAGCAGTACCAGCCAAGGGCCGAGCCCATGTGGGTGGGGATATTTCGTGCCCCGTCACACCAATCCAAACCCAGAGCACAGCTCGTTGGCTCCTGGCAGCCACTGTTGCAGGTCATGTGTGTGGTCACAGGCGTCCCCTGTCAGAAAGCACGGGGGCAGGAGCTCACCACCTCGCTTGTTACCCGTAGGTTTCAGGTTCCCTGAGCAGCCTCAGTGAGTCTCCTAGGCCCCGTTTTGCCCTTTGCCTCTCCCACTCTGTTGAACTTAAATGGCTGAGATGTCTAAAATAGCCTCTTGTTCTGGAAAATGACTCTTCAGAGAAAACAAAATGTGCCAGCAGCTTTAGGCAGAGTCTTGCCGTGCTTGAGCTAAAGTCTCCGTTAATAAGATTCTTTTTTTGCTAGATTTTTTTCCCTTGAACTGATAATTTTTCAAAGTGGGTTTTTAGAAAGTGTTTTTGTATGAGGATACATCGTAAAGACAAAGTTAATGTAGGGGAAAGACCAGAGCTGAGACCAGAAGACAGCTGATGACATTGTAACTTACCTTCTGTTGAAGTGTGATACCAACATGCCCGATCTTTCTGCTTCTATTAGTATATATTTATTGTTCAAAGCAGACCCTCATATTGAAATTTCCACACATGAGTATAATTCACTTTGTTTGGCAATAACTTCTGCCCTTACTCATTCCTGTTCTTCATGTTTTAATCAATGTTGTCTGCAAGGAACTGCAGCTTTCAGCTTCAGGTGTTATTTCCTGAGGCAGCCACGCTGAAAGGCGTTTCACTACCAGGATAGTTATTTTTGCCTCTGGCCTTGCTCTCTCTCACCCCAGGGCACGAGGAAGGCAGCATTGTCTCTCCCCTTGCTAGGATGACGGTATGTCTCTTCTCTGACGTCTCTTACCTGGCAAGTCAGTTTCAGCTTTTCTTCCCAGCCAACTAAGAAATTTGGGGACCGTCTTGGAAAGGAGTTTTCTTGTAAGTTCTGAGAACGTGGTGCTGAATTCTCCGTTGGTGTGTTGTCCTTCCAGGCTGGCGCTGTTGAAGAAGAGTGGTGAGGAAGACTGGAAGAACAGACTGCTTCGGAAGCAGGAATACGGCAAGGCCACCAGCGGCCTGCACATGCAGGAGGAGCAGTCTCTGAGGAAGGTACCCTGTCCACCTCACTAACATGCATGTGTGTCTCGGGAGCCACATGTGGCATAAGGACCTCCTGCTCTATGGCACTAGTACGTCCTTGCCTACCTCACTAACATGCCGGTGTGTCTCAGGAACCAAGTGTGGCATAAGGACACCTGTTTCACAGCACTAGTGATGCTTGCCTTTAGGAAACAGTTTGTCACAATGCTGCTAGAACTAACCCTGAGGTCCAGGCTGGGGCCCGAGGCCTCAGACCAGCTCCACACTCAGCAAACAAATGCCTAAGCTTCCAAGTGTGGTTCACTATTGAATTTTAAGTGAAGTCTGATGTTAGGACGTGAGTAAAGTCTTTCAAATGAGACAACTTCTCATACATGGCTTGTAAGATACATATCAAACACGGACTTAAATTTCCTATGCAGAGATTTAAGACCTAGTTATAAAAATGAAGGGTGTAACTTTGGTCCATGAGGACTTTCTGCCTAATTTTAAGCCTATTTCGTGATGATGAGGTAAGGCTTTTATTAAAGACCTATACGTGAATATCAATTAAGTCGCATGTGCGAACATGTCGTGTTGGCCTATCAATGGACTATTGAATCACAAATGGAGTGGTCATCAGCCTTGGCCTGGTTCTCCAAGCTTCAGTCACGATGTCCTGTCCACTGGCTCTGTGGGAACACATGTGCTTGCTGGCTGAGGCAGAATGACACACTTGAGCCACACCCACCCATCCAACTCCTAGAATCTTCTAAAGTCTTCAGACAGAGAACACACCTGAGTAGCAGAGCTTACCACTGCATACAATGCAACTTCCCAGGCAGTTGTTCTGAAAGATGCAGACCCCTTCTGTCAGGTGGTAACAGACACGAAGCTCAGAGTGAGATGGATTCCCTATGGTGGTGCAGAAGTGTTTCAAACACATATGAGAGTGAGGGCTCATGTTATTTCCGGAGCATGGTGGGTAGCGGATAAGTCTGAATGGCCCAGACACTTGGCTGAGCTCCCATAGGTGAGAGACTCGGGCTGCCCCTGCATTCACTCTTGGGATGGAAAACCCAATGCTGGAAACATCAAGGGTCTGGGTGCAGCCTGCACCTGCATGTGCTAGGGCCACCCAGGGCTCTCTGGGCCCCTGCCTCTGCAGCCATGGTGAACTCGCTGTTCCTAGGCTTCTCACTGGCCTACTTCACTTTGGCTTAGACAATAAACTCTTTGAAGTTACGCTAAGCCAGTCTATTTTCAGCTCTTGTCCCTTGCAGGGGAAGTCTCAAGTTCTGTTAAGGTCAAGTGGTGCCTTAGACACTACTTGGCCTCTGTGCGCACACACACACACACACCACAACAGCAAAATCAATTCCTATTTATGTTAATACCACATTGGTCATTTAAAACTTTGAGGATTTGGTAAGACTCTAGAGAAGACACTAGAAGGCTGGAGAGATGGCTCAGTGGTTAACAGAACTGGCTGCTCTTTCAGGGACTGCATAGTCAATTCCTGGCACCCACATGGGGGCTCACAACAGTCTGTAACTCCAGCTCCAGAGTATTTGATGCCCTCTTCTGGCTTTCTGTGGGCATCAGGCACGTGCTCAGTGCACAGACATGTACATGCAAGCAAACACCCATATACAAAAAAACAAGATGAAATTATTTTAAACACACACACACACACACACACACGTTAGGGACTGAAGTGGGCCTGTTGGCGCACACCTATAATTCCAGCACTCAGGGGGCTGAGACAGGAGAATTTCCGTGTGTTTAAGGCTAACCTAGGCTACATAGTGAGTTTCAGGCCTTCCCAGGCTACAGAATGATTCTTTGTTCCTCAAAGAAACAAGAACAAAATAAGTAAGTGCCTTGACGATCTGTAATCACTTCCTCTGTCAAAGGGGGCTGTCCCCAAAGAAAGCAGGGTGCTCCCACCCAGGCCTCACTTGGGTCCTATATGATACTATGTTCCTATTTGGGCTCATGAAGACAGTGAGGATTTTCCCTCTTTGTTCTCAAATATCAGCCCGAGGGGGCAGTTGTTTGCCTTCTAATTGTGTTCCTCCAAATGGAGGTTAATGAAATGACTCTTAAGAGCACAATTATCCCTAGCTGGCCTCGCTTCCCATGGAAATGAGCCAGGCCATTCTCCTCCTCTGCCCCTCACAGCCCATGCCTGGCCCCTGGACGACAGTTAGCGTAAGTCTGGGTGATATGGCATATATACTAGCAATAAGGGTCCAAAGCCATAGAGCCATGGCACAGACCAGGTCACACTTCAAGGGACATGTGTGTGCTTGAGCAGGATTTGTTTCCATGTCCGTCAAGAGAGAGGAAAACAAAACAAGGTCCTCAAGAGCAGCCTGCCAGGCATCTTCTTTCTTTCTAGCAAATCATGAGTAAAACCCAGCCCTGCTTGGCCTGGTCACTGTTGTGGCATGTGCAGTCATCCAGTGTCTGGGACTTTTCCCAGGAAGTCAAAACCCATTAGAGAATTGTCTGTTTTCAGTTCTGTATCTGTATGAGTCCTGGGTGGGAAGGGGCTGCCGTTTCTGCTGCTGTTCTAATGAGGTCAGCTAAGGTTGAGATCCCAGATATCACCAAAAAGGCCTGGGAGTCAAGGAAGGAAGCCCTGCCACATTCAGGATGGAATTGTCTGTCACGGCTGAGGAGAAAGCAGGTGGATGGGGGAGAATAGAAGGCAGAGCGAGCTGTTGGGCGATGTCTGCTCACAGTCATCGTCATGTCCCCGAGGAGAGAGTTTGCCTGCTGTTCACAGCCCCGGAATGCGAGCACATGCATGCTTCTGACTAACTGAACCCAGGCAGAGTGATCACGCCCACAGACTCTGCTCTTTCGGGCTTCTACAATGTCTCCTATTTGTTTTAACCTGTAGGAAGAAGGAGGATTTACAGATGATAATGCCATTTCTAATCTGCTTTGGGTAAGCCTGACTCTAATGCAGGTGTCCTTCCGAGACCAACACAGTGGGTTCCCCTGGTGGACCAAAGCTTAGACACACAGCGAGGAGGCAGAAGAGCAAAGAGAGGGTTCTACATTGAGAACACTACAAAGAATCCTCAGATCCATGCCTCTGGGGGGGGAAAATGGGGAATTTTAGTGGGAAAACTCACATATTTATGTGTATATATGTGTTATACATATACACACACTCACACACACATATACAGTATAGGAAAAAACTTGTTACATAGAAGCAGCTAACACATCCTGAGTACTCAGTTCATGGTCCTACATAGCGTGTTGTTTTTTTTTTTAATGTCAAGGGAGGATCTCAGGTAAACGCAGGCCATCTGGACAGTGTCGCAGTAACTTTGTAATTTTGGCTAGCTCCCTGTAAAGCTCTATGAAAACCTTATCTGAAACATGAAAACCAAAGCAACCAGCTTTGAAGGAGCATGCCAGTCACTCGGAGGGGCAGTCGTACGTAACTGTCCCTAAGGCGGCTAACATGGCTTCTTGCCCCAGGCCATCCCTGTTTCTGTATCCAATATGGAAGCTGATCCTGTGTCCTTAAACTGTTTTTAAATCACATAATGAAAATTCTATAAAGAAACTAATCATTTACGTTAAGTGTTTAAACTGTTGGTGAAAAGCCCGGTCTTGTCCCTAAGTAAGTATCCATACATACTTACATAGGAATTGTGGTCATCTGCCATTAGCTTGTCCAGTCCCAACCCTGGCTCAGGTGCATGGACTGGGCAGTGTGGGATGAATGTCATTCAGCACTGACATTCAAAGGAAGGTTCTAAGGAAGAACCAAAACTGCAATGAGAAAATTAAGCGTGGCAGAAAATGTGTTGTCTCTCTGGGTTCTCCCCTGCTCCCTCGCCCACTCCTGCCCTTGCCCTTCTTCCGGTTTTCCCTCTAATCCTCTTGCTTTGCCCTATAGGAACCTGTATTTGCTTCTACTTATTCTCCTGCTATGCCTGCCGCCCATAAACACCTGTCTTTCCTATCTGTCAATCAGGTGAGGAAATGCCTGTAACATGTTAAGCCTCATTGCAGTTCCTGGGCGGTAGAGAAGGCTTTGTTTGGGGACTAAGCAGCAATCTGTGGCATTTCACTGTGTGTGCAGAGAAAGGGGGTGATTGTGCATACGTGTGTTATCATGCATGTGTTTTAACTTTTTCATATTTTTCAAAGTAGGCCAACCCACACCCCATCCTTCATGCCAAATTTTTAGGTGGATCCAGTAGTGTGGATTCCCCTCACAGTCATGAGGATGGTTAAAGTCTCTGACTTTTCAGTCCTAAGGCAGGATTGGTAAGGGTGTTCTTGCCCAGCTCACTGTTGGTGAGCCCTCACTCAGCTCAGACCCCCATTGTCCACCATTAAGCTACCGTACAGGATTGTGTCCCTTAACCATCATTCTCACATCCCTGATTTTTCCCACCTGCTAGAGCTGCAAACAGGGAATTCATTTGGCCCTGTTCCTTCACAGCTCATTTCTCCTCAGTGCTGGGGAGGAGAAATGTGTCTGAATGGACCAAGCCATTCACGTGCTTGGTGGCACCTTGGTTGTTTTCAAGTTTTGGCAATTGTGGGTAGAGCAGCGATAAGCAAAAGCCCTCGTGCAATTTTTGTTAAGACAGAAGCCTTACTGTCCAGATATTAACAGACCTGACTGAGGAGTTGTACAGGAAGAGCACGCTCGCTCTCATAAGAAGCTCCCAGCTGCTGCTGACAGTGGCTGTATTCCTCAACACCCAGAGAATGGTCAGGCTGCTCAGAGTTTAGAACAGCACCTTGTGTCAGTGTCTTGGATTATGGCCATTCCAAAAGGCACATCCCAGAGTCTCATTTTAATATGTGAGTCCTCACAGTGGTGTTGAATGTATGGCCACAAGCTTATTTTCTGTGCGTGTATCTTCTTGGTGATGTACCTACATAGATGCTTTGTTCGTTTGTTTCCTGGTCACTGAGTTTGAAGAATCCTTTGTGTGTCTTGGAGAACAGTCCTGTGTTAAATAAGTTTTGCAGATCTTTCTTCCCACCCTGTGGTTTGTCCTTTCATTCTTCTGGCAGAGCCTTTCACAGAGCAGCTTATTAATCTCAGTGAAACCCAACTTGCCAACTAGTTCTCTTATGAACCGTGCCTTTGGTGTTCTACCTAAAAGGTGATCATACCAGCCTGGGAAAAATAACATGCTTGAGGCCATAGATCTGATTTTAGTAGTGGAGCGTGAGTGAGTGAGTGTGATTAAGTTCATGTCTAAATTTTCTCCTGTTATCTTCTAGGAGTTTTATAGTTTTATATGTCACATTTAAGTCTACGAACCACTTAGTTTTTGTGAATTTTATATGATCTAATCTAGGTTTGTTTTTGTTTTACAAACATTCCAGCACACGACTTCTTAATAATACTCTTTTCTCCACTGTATTGCTTTTATCTCTTTTCTGCTCAAGGTTCAGTCACTGTAGGTGTATGGGTCTAGGCTTCTATTCTGTTCTGCTGATATAGTCAGTGCCATACTGTCCTAACTTCTATATCTTTGAATATTAAAACTGAATCTTCTCCCGTCATTCTTCTTCAGTTTCTGTGGGCTGTCACAGGCTTTTGCTTCTCCATATACATTCAAGTTCAGAATTTCTTTTAAGTTTTATGACCTCAAACTTTAGGACATGTTCAGCATGTGTTTTTACTTCTTAACAGTTTAACCAGATAAACGTGCTAACATGGTGGTATTTCTCATTGTTCTCAGTGATCAAGATAGTCCTTTGCTTTGCCCCAGAAGTGGTGGCATGTTGGTGTTTCATGATAGCGTGCACAGAGAAGGAAACAGGCTGTTTAAAGCAGGGCAGAAACTTCTTGAGGCGTGCGTCCTCTGCTTCTTTGCCTACTCAAGGCTATTAGAGTGAGATGCTCTCCTGCCCTGAGGCTGCAGAGTGAGGGGCTGGTTCCTCCCTGAGGCTGTTAAAGTGAGGTGCTGGCTCCTCCCTGAGGCTGCTAGAGTGAGGTGCTGGTTCCTATCCTTCCCTGAGGCTGCTCAGAGTGAGATGCATCGTCCATCAGAAGCTGACAACAGCATCAGACTGAAATCTTAAATTCGGAGCACAGGGCTTCTTCATCATTGTCTCCAGTTTCAGGTCTCTTGACACTGCATGTGAACATGGATCAGAATCTTTGTTCAAGGGAAGGCAAAGCTCAATTCTTTACCATTTTGCCGAATTTCGTGGTTTGGCCTTATCTGTTACTTAGCATATGTTCCTATCATGTCTGCTGTTGAATTTTACTCAATGTAAGGTGAAGACTTACAAGCCAGATCACAATAGTTCTTCCTGTGAAACTTGTTAACTGAGGAGGGCTTTTGTCTCTTAATTTGCTGCTGATCCTTATGCTACCTGACTACACTCTCCTGTCCTATCTTATTGCTGAGGGTGGAATGTGGAGATTTGCTGTGAGTTCTCAGTAGGTTAGGAGAAGAACCAGGCCATTACAGCATCCTGGTAACTGTCCCAAAGCTGCTCGTGGTCCTCCTGTCTCCCCCACTGCGCCACTGTCTCCTACCCTGCCTCCCCATCCTCTCTTCATCCCCCTACCCTGCTTCTCTCCGCCATTTTGATGGTGTCTGTGTTGGAAAGAAGGACTTACAGCTGGGTAGGTTTTCTTCCTCTTTTGCCTCTCCTCTCACTATTCCAGGCAGCTGAGCATCCATCTGCCATAGCACAGGACACGGAACTTATCAGAACCAAACAAGAAAAGAAAAATCTGCACAGACAAAAAAGAAGGGGACAAACAAATTTTTTTTTCACACTTTGAGAGATTTCATACATTAGGGTGAGAATACACAACTACATATCTAGAGCTTGTAAGGTCAAAGGGAGCCTACTGGGAGTTTCCCAGGCCAAACATGCCAAATAACCAAGTTATATAAAAATTTCCAGAGAAAGAAAAAGTTCTATGTTTAATACTTGCATTTGGAAGGAAGTAAAAGATTCTTTCTGTGGAGACAATGGAAGCTTTGGGTTGACTTGCTTTATGTCAAGCTCAGAACCTTCATCCTTCCATGAGAACATTTGAGGTGCTTCCGGGGCACTCAGCTGCTGACTGGAGGAAAGCCTTTTCTGAGTCATTAACCACACGGCATTACTACACCCTGTGCTTTGGAGAGGCCGTGAGCTCACTATCAGTACTTCAGAAAGTACTTCCCTAGATCAGTGGTGTTTTCCTCCATGTCCACAGTGGAGTGATGCCATGCCAAGAGACTTAACATTGGCATCATGTTTGCCAAGCCCACATCTGTGTTTCAGTTGTGTCAGTTTTCTCCAATAATATTCTCAGTAGGCCTACCCCAGTCCCACACTAGGATCATGCATTGCACTGAGCTGTCCTAGTCTGGGACGAGGTCTTCATGTCATCTGAATTACCAAGGACATCAGCGTCACTTCTGGCCATGAGGGTGTGCAAGGAAGATTCGTGGATCAGATGACAGGGAAGCTGGCCACTGAAATCACCCACGTTAGCGGCTCACATGCTGAGAACTGTTCTTCTCTGTGTGGGTTGTGTCCACCACAGGAGAACTCTTGTGTCATCTCTGCTATGATCTCAAGCCACCTCCTGGGCTCCTTGGCTACCTGAGTCCCCAGGTGCCCAGAAGGCCCACTGGTCCTGGGGAATCTTACAACTCCATTCCTTCTAGCCAGCTTTCCTACTTTGTCACTCAAACTCTTGGGGAGTTGACTTGGATGAAATGCTAGACTAGCGCTGTCCTCGTGGCCATGGGATGGATTGCTCATTCACTCACCCAGCCGTCGGGAGACGGGGTTAATGTGTGATTGTTTCTTCTCTTGGGGTGGGGGTGGGGGGCGCTGCCGGGCTGAAGTTTACAGCTCCTTCAGTCTCCTCTCCTCCCTTCTGTGCATGTCGTACACAGCGGGTCTCGGAAAGTCGAGAGTGCCAGATGACGATTGAAGAGCGGAAGCACCTCATCACTGTGCGCGAGGAGGCATGGAAGGCGAAGGGCAGGGGCGCGGCCAACGATTCCACCCAGTTCACCGTGGCAGGAAGAATGGTGAAGAAAGGTCAGAGGCCTTGTGTGCGTGTGTGTGCGTGCGTCTGTGTGTACACGTCTGTGTACACGTGCATTGGTGGAGGTAGAATGTACATGACAGCTCAGCAGAAAGGGGGAGGGGCCTGGTCTTTGTGCCTCACACTGCAGTGGTGTGGAGTGAGGGGTTTTGATGGTTGTGTGGGGTGTTTCTGCTGCAGACCCTGCCCTCTTCCATGAAGGAAGCCTGATTCAGTCTGCCACTATTTCAGAACTCACCTGTTTGGAAACTGAATGCAACTGTAGGTTTCAGAAGCAACTGCAGCTCTGCTAGACAAACAAACTAACAAAAACAAAAACAAAGAAACAAAAAAGAAAGAGACTCCATTTTAACCAGTTATTTTCCACAGCTCTCTTTAAATTGTTTCCATCTTCTTGCTGCCTGACACACCTCCAGACACACCTTCCCATCATCTCACCTGCCAAGGAAGCCTTTGGAAACAAAGGCATTTTAGCATGGCGTCCCTCTTGCTCTTTAAGTCAACTTTTATGTCCCTTTGGCCCTAGCTTTGTGAGCTGCGGCTCACAAAGGTCAGTTTGCAGGCATGTAACACATGTGTGGAAGATGTTCTGAATTCCAGGAAGCCATGCACGGTGCAGATCACTTAGTGCTTCAGGTTTGCCAGAACTGCTGTGAGGCTAAACTCAGAGACACTGGAAGCCGAGCGCTGAGTCGCATGCCAGCTTACCAGTGGTCCTCCAGAGAGCCCTCCAGAGAGTTTGAGGGTGTTTAGGGCTTTAATTTGTGTCTGGTGGCACATGGCTGAATCCATACACAGTAGCCCCATTTCTCGAGCTGTTATCTAAAAGCAGACTTCCTATTACTGGCAGAAGCCTCTACACACCCCCAGTCTTTGCGTTCTGCCATTCACTTCATAAGCTGAGCATTCCTTCTCCTCAACCCTTCCATTCTGAATAGAGCCTAACTGGTTCCTAGCATTTGAGAGCTGTTTGCAGAATGGAGGAGGGAAGAGGAAAGAGGGCAAATTTGGGAGGGTGTTTACTTGAATCTTATTGGAAGAAGCCTTTGAAACAAACAAGGATACCAGAAGATCATTTACGCTCATTGGATGAGGCAGGTCCTGGCTTTTCTTCATGGAATCATAGAACTGTTTGGTCAGGTGTAATCTTGAGCCTAGCCCCTCGCCCTTCACCCTTCACCCCTCCCCCTGTATTAATGGAAGGCGGGGTCCAGGCACAAATCAATTAAAGGCAGCCAGAACTGACAGAGCTCAAGTCTTCTGCTGCTGGCTCCCATTTGTATCCCGATGGCAATTTGCTCAGCTGTCATTTTAATTTATTTTGCCATCTCCTCTGAAAAGTCCTAACTGGGGTCTTCCCACGTACCCCTGCCCTTGTGCCCTGGCCTACACTGCCCGGTTGGATACAGAACAGTCTACCCCACAGTGAGTATGTTCATTCCTATTTCCCTGCACAAGCCGTGTATTTTCTTGTAAGTCATAAATCTTCCCGGGGGTAATAATTTCCTTGCTTTTAATCTAATATAAAAGACCACATCCATTTTTGAACTATTAGTTCTTTTTGATGTACAACTATATGGCGTCCGGTTTTTGTTGACTGAAGAATACAACAGTCCCTGGCCCTACTCGACCCAACAGCCACAAAGGTTCTCATTTCAGTTCCAAGGCACACTCACACAGTTTCGGGGTTTCGTTGTTTCTCCCCAGGAGGCTCTGAGCGCTCCTGGTTTCCTCTGGACATTCTCTACTTCTGTATTCTTATACTCTAACAGTCACCACACCGCAAGATCTCGCTAGTACTCTAACATGGGAGGAAGAGCACTCAGAGCATGCTGCAAATGAAAGGTGTGAAAATGTTCCCAGAGAGGAGGTCCTTGTTTGTTGCTGCTAGAATTCACTGAAAAGAGCTGTGGGGAGAGCTTTGATTGTTTCAGTACTTTGAAACTTCACCCTATATTCCCTGTTGCATTATGGGGGAATCCTTAATGTCTCTAGCTGGGGATGCAATAGGCCACTTCCAGGAACCCTGACTGGCAGCGATGGTATGGGATTTGTTCAGTGTCCATGTAGAAGGGCAGATTTGGGTACTTGCTTTGGGACCATCAGCCTGCTGAGTGAGTCCGGCTTATTGGCTTTAGAGCCAGTGGACTCTTCTGAAAACTCTCAATCACCCCTTTGCTAGGTAATGGCTTGATCTGTCCAATTTTGTGATACCCGGTTTTATTTACAGTACTGTATTTCAAGAAATCTTACTTTCTCGTGGACACGAGCTTGGTGCTGACCTGGTAGTAGAAATGAGTTTCAGAATTTATGCATGTTTGTTTGCAAATATATATGGAAATGAAGATTGAGCTGTGTTTCCAGCCGCCTGCAGTTGCTGCCTTTTTCCTGCATTTTTATGCTCTATTTGCCTGTCCAGCTCATGGGATTGTTCTCCGGCTGTTCCAGGAGAGTACGTCCCAGGAGAGGGCTATGTCCTCTTAAACGTACACGCACACACTCACACAAGAGCACATGTACACATGCATACATGTGCACACACAGACACTCCCACAAACGCACATGCACACAAATGTACACACACACACACACACACACACACACACACTGTAAAGGATACAGAGAACAGGAGCAGCTCATTCCATTCTTTACAGACACTCCATTTATTTCCCTCCCCAGTCTCTTCTATTTGGTGGGAGAGGGCATCTAAGTTTCCTGTTAGGTTTTCATATTTCAGCCGAGTTCCCTCTCTGCACTCAAATTCTCCTTCTTACTCTTCATGTGTCCCTCGGGCTTTGTTTGAACAAGCATTTCCCACTCTGTGCATCAAGGAACATGTGATCATTTCCAGCACACGCAAGCTGTGTGAGTGTGACCCTCCCACAATCCCACATGGGTGTGATGTGTGTTTGCCTGTCTCTCTTCTGAAAGGGCAGACCTCTTCGTTATTCTCCATTCAGCACCATAAGCTGACATTGTCAGTGCCTCCTCATAGACTGGAGAGAATGCTGGTGCCCAGGGCCTTGCTGCCTGGGACAAGGCAGCTTACTTCTTACATCCTCTGTGGGAGAGCGTACAAATTCGCTTCTTCCTCCGTGGACCCCACCAACCCAAAAGCCCTTAAATCCCACTTATCCCAGTGTCTTCTAGAAGCCCATACACTCTCAGTCCATTTACACGCCGTGGATATGTTTTCTCATGCCCTCACTGTTCATTTTGGAGTGTCAGCTTGCCAGCTGGGAATAGGAAAACCCTAGGTATGGCTGCATTTGGTGGCCACCTATGCACGCCAGTGTACGCTCACACTGTAGGGACAAGTACAGGTTCACCGGAGTCTGTGAACTTCCAGCATCTTGAAGATACTAAACTGTCTCCTGGTGTGATCTGCAGGTCTGGCATCACCCACAGCCATAACTCCAGTCTCATCCCCTCTGTGCAACAAATCAAGGGGCACGACTCCAGTTTCTAAGCCCTTGGAAGGTATGTTGCCCTGTCCACTGTGACGTGAGCATCTGCACAGGGACTCTTGGGGTGGTTGTTCGCTGATGGTTTCTACTTGTTTAGATATTGAAGCTAGACCGGATATGCAGCTGGAATCGGACCTGAAGTTGGACAAGCTGGAAACCTTCCTAAGGAGACTGAACAACAAAGGTACATGCCAAAGCCAGAGGGGAGCTGCAGCTTGTTCTGCCTCAGCACACTGTGGTCCCTACTTTCCCAGAACCTCCAAGTCCTAACTTTCAGCTTCTCAACTTTTGGAGTTTTGTTTTGTTTTGCAGCTGTTTTTGTTATTACTGTTGTTTTGTTGTTTGAAATCAGGTCTCATGTAGACCAGGCTAGGCTTGAACTTATGTCATAGCCAAGGATAACCTTGAACTCCTGATTCCCTCCCACCAGGTGCTGGGTGACAGCTGTGCACCACCATAGCTAGCTCTTCAAATCCTATTTGTGATTACTTTCTCTCTTCAGTCAATTTCACTCCTTTCAGCAATTTACACACACACACACTTAAAATCTGTTGTTATTCTTCAAAAAATGAAATTGTTGTCGGTACTAATTAGAGTTCTAAATTGGATCCACTCAATAATGTCCTGAATTTGGGATACCCAATAGTGAGTGCACTCGCTAATGACTCCAAATCTTGGGGTGCCGTCCTATCCAAGGACAACTCAGTGATTTTTCCTTTATGCTATAGAGCAGTCACTATGCAAGTACAAAAATCAACCTACTTTTGGATGAGCTTTGAATTGCAGGCATCGTTTCTGTTAAGGCAAAAGGTATTTTTTTTTCTTATAATCCCAAATAATTTCTAAAAGAAAATTTTATTAAAAGGGTAATGCAATAAACACTTTAAAGGTAGTATGCGGAAATAGCCTTTTCTGGCTTGATAAAAGATATCTGATTCATCTAGTATCAGATACCAGGAGCCCCTGCTGTTGACAGTGACCCCTAATGGCTGAAAGTTACACAAATACTGAAAACTAGAACTATAAAGGCTAATATAATAGTTAATGTGACTGGGTAAGATATATTAACAATGAAATCTGTCACACCATTGTCTTAGGGTTTCTATGGCTTTGGTAAGTAACATGACCAAAAGCAACTTTGGAGAGGAAAGGGTTGTTTTTTTTGTTTTTTGGTTTGTTTGTTTGTTTGTTTGTTTCTTATAGCTTGTCGTCCATCATCTAGGGAAGTAGGGCAAGAACTCAGATAAGGTTAGAATCTGGAAGTGGGAGCAGATGTAAAGGTCATGAGGGGTGCTGCTTCCTGCCATGCTCCTCATGGCCCATTCCTGATTTCTCAAGGACTACCTTCTTGGGGGAAGCACTACTCACAGTGGGCTGGCCTTCCACATCAATCACTAACCAAGAAAATGTCCAATCTAGTGGGGACATTTTCTCAGTTGGTACTCTCTTTTCCCAAATGACTGCAGCCTGTATCAAGATGACATAGAACTAGCCAACATGATGCCATAACAGTGATGGAGCCTGCGGTCAGCCGGCAGTGGCCATGACCACTCCAGTGTTCTACCTGTTCTTGAAAATAAAGTTTTATTGGAACATAGCTATGTCCTTTCGTTGACCTGCCATTCATAGCTGCTTTTGCACTATAACAGCAGGATTGAGGCATTGCATCATAAGCTATATACTCTCCCCCAAAGAAGTCCCAAGTGCTTCCTAGTTCGTTAAAGAAAAGGGTTTGTAGAACCCTAATATGAAACAGGGCTAATGTTAATTTCCCTCTAGTAGAAATGGGTCAGGTTCACAAACGTGCTTATGTGGGCAGGGTCAGCCTGATTCTCATCCTAACCATCACTGCACAGAGAACTGGGGTGCAAGGGTTACAGAGGAGGAGGGCTTTGAACCTCATTGCGCCTCCCCCACTCTGGGAACTTGGAGAGGGAAGCCAAGCATCGCAAAGGAAGGTCACAGCAATAGCTTCTCTAAACCTCACGGTGTTTCTGTTCCCACCGTTGTTAGTTGCTGGGATGCAGGAAACCGTTCTCACGGTCACTGGCAAATCTGTCAAGGAGGTGATGAAGTTGGATGATGATGAGACCTTTGCCAAATTCTACCGCAGCGTGGATTACAACATACCCAGAAGTCCTGTGGAGCTGGAGGAGGACTTTGATGTCATTTTCGACCCTTACGCTCCCAAGTGAGTTTGAGAGCGGCTCCCCTCACATGCTCCCAAGTCTGGTGAGCAGAAACCTCTCCATAGATATTGGCTCTGGCCCAGGATGCACGTTGCCTGGGGCAGAGAGCACACACGTGGTCAGCCTGCTGTTCTGGCAGGTGGACTTCGTGTGTCCTGGATGTCTGTGCAGCCCTGAAGGCCGTGACGGGATTTCACACTCCTCAAGCGCTCGCTTGGCAGACCCCACAACTGCCCCATGGGACAGTGCTGAGCTTACTCATAAATGGGTATTTGGATGACGTGAGCTCAGGGTAGCACAATTGATTAGAAAATCGGGAGCCATGGTTTCTTTGCTTCCGGCAGTGTATAAAATTAGCATATCCATGGGCTTTCTCTCGGGAACATTATAAAAAGTGATTATGTGTTAGGATTCCTTCCATGGCAGATGCCAGATAAATGCATGTGAACTGAGATCAGATAAAAACAACAACAACAACAGCTGCGGAGGAATTCAGTTCAGATCAGGTGCACGCTGAGTGTACAGAGACAGCTGCAGCCTGGCCTCTCTTAAGGCTGGCTTCCCGCTGAGTCAAACTGCAACCCTAAAGAAAGAGCACCTCTAATCACTAAATCGAGAGGCTACTCAGTCAGGCCCAGATAGATCTAATAGATCCTCCAATCCAGGTGTGGTCTTCATTGTTCCAGCCTGGGTCATAAGCTCATCCCTAAACCAAAGGGACAGAATGTAGTCAACCAGCGGGGTGCGATGTAGTCAAGGGGACAGAATGTCCACCAACCAGCGGGGTGCGACGTGACCCAGAGGAAGCCCCCTATAACGTGAGCAGCAGTAGGGGCACTTGTCTGAGAAAGTGCACACAGCCACCTAGCACACATTGCTGGTCTTCCCTATACAGAGCAACCGTGTCTTCCAAGGATGAGTTTATTCGTGGTAAAAGTTTCCATAAACTACTCCTGATGCAAAGTACTGCTTTGCACATTTCAGTCTGTTCAATTCACCTCCTCCCCATCCAGCTGTCACTGCTGAAGTTGTTATAGAGAGTTGTGATGTGCAGCAGTTAAGCAAATGTGTGTTTGTGCTCACATGGACAGTGTTGGTATACAAAGGCTTCCTGGCACAGAGACCTAAACACTCGGCAGTTGAGTATCACCACAGGAGTCTCCTGGGAGATCACATCATTGACACATCCCTTCCCCAGGCTGCTCGACCCAGACTTGGGATGGTCTTGGGGACCAGAGATGACACTGAAGGCCTGTTTTATTCTAGTATATTCTTCACAAGTGTGGTTACTTTCCTTGGCGAGCTGGCAGCTTGGAATTAACTCTGTGTGAAAGAAAAGCTATATCTGAAGAGAAAATTTAGTCTGGGGCAAAGAGGCTTCAAGGCCATCTGCCGAGTCCCTGCGAACTTGGCGGTGACAGCAGCAGTAGGCATGTGTGTGCCGAGTGTCACAGGCTCTCTAACCCAGATGAAACCAGGAAGTAAAACTGTGGAGTCTGTCATCCTGAGTCCACAGGGTGAGGGGACAGCCTGAGCCACGTCTGCTTTGCCCGCAGGTTGACTTCTTCGGTGGCAGAGCATAAACGCTCAGTCAGGCCCAAGCGCCGGGTCCAGGCCTCCAAGAACCCTCTCAAATTGCTGGCAGCAAGAGATGACCTCCTTCAGGAATACACGGAGCAAAGGCTCAACGTTGCCTTCATGGAATCCAAGAGGATGAAAGTGGAAAAGAGTGAGTGTGGGGAGCTGCCACCTGCTTCCAGGTCTGAGCACTGCCGTGCCATTTTCTTTTAATCTGCCTTGTGGGGCCAGTGGGTGTTCAGAGAGCACTCATTAACAAGAGCGAATTCACACATTCACGGATATGCCTGCCTAGCATTTAAAGATTTCTTACTGAATTGCTGTTTAAATTATGCTGTTTTGCTGAATTGGGTCTTGAGATGGAAGTGTTTCTGGGTTTTGTAATTCCACCAATTTTCGGCTCTGGCAAACCCAAGCACAGCAATTCTCCACTGAAATCTCAGTCAAGAGTCATTTAGGAGATTTCCTGTGGTGTCCAAACTCACTTCTTTCCTCGCCCCAGAGTTTTAAACCAAGGTTTTCAGATTGTTCTGAGAGAGGTCCCGGGGCTGCATGGGGTGAGGTTAGATGGGCGGGGGTGGGCGGCTTGGAATGGAGAGTGAAGTTGGTCCCTGACTGTACCCCGACCCTGAGCTTCATGTCTTGGCTTTTATCTAGCCCAGAATGTGGGTTCCATTACTGTCAAACAGTGATTTTCATGGCAGTAATAGTCTTGATATTTAAATAGTTTTTTGCTGTAGTTTTTATTTTCCTTTTAGCATTCATAAATTAATTTGCCAAAGGTTTTTGTTTTGTTTTGTTTTTAAGAGTTTAGTGGCAATGCATGCCTGCAATCCCAGCACTCAGGGTATGAACACAGGAGAGCCCCAAGTTCCAGGATAGCCTAGACTACACAGTAAAACCCTATCTCCAAAATTAAGGAACAGAAGGAAAGGAAGGAGGGAGGGGGAGGGAAGGAGGGAAGGAGGGATGGAAGGAAGGAAGGAAGGAAGGAAGGAAGGAAGGAAGGAAGGAAGGAAGGAAGGAAGGAAGGAAACAGAAGAGAAGAGAAAGGGGGAGAATTTAGAAGAAGTTGTCTTTGCATTCTAACTGGGTTGACTGAGAAATGCTTCCAAAAAGGCCGGAACTGTCTGAAGTACCAAGTGGAATCAGGGTTCTGATTTCAGTGTTAGCATCTGGTCCTGATTGAGTTCGCTGACTGAATTTTGCCCCAGCATTAGCATTTTGAAAACAATAAGCTGAAGAGAAAGAAAGGTTTATTGGCACAATTTTCGTCTATCTCTCCACAGCCTGTACTTCTGTGGGTTTCAGGGCTTGGCTTATGCTTTTGGTCCACACTGGAAACCCAGCATCTTTTGACCACGGCCTTAGGTCTGAGGGCAGAGGACCTCAAGCTACACAGATTGATCGCTTTGCCCTAAATCACCCCCTACAGGGCGTCTCCTTTCTACCTGTGAAGACCTGGCGAGAAATGCCTACAGCCTCTCTGGGGGTTAGGAGCTGTGAGCACTGTTGGTAGCATTACGTGGAGTGAGTCTAGCATGTGGCTGTCAGCTGGGTAGGTGGTTCTGGTCTGTGTCAGTGACCTGGCCTCCTGTGACACTTGTCAGCAGCAGCTGGTGTGTTCCATACGGCATTCAGTCCTGTACACGGTGACCGGGCCTCAAGCTGCGCAGCCCCGCAGGTTTGGGTCCTGCTGGGTCCTGCGATTGGAAACAGTGCCTCTCAGCTGTGCACCCTCCCTCCACAGTGTCCTCCAATTCCAACTTCTCCGCCGTGACGCTAGCGGGCCTGGCCAGCAGGGAGAACTTCAGTGGCATCAGCCTGCGGAGCGTCAACCTGACGGAACAGAACTCCAACAACAGCGCAGTGCCCTACAAGAAGCTCATGCTGTTGCAGATCAAAGGTATTCTCGGAGCGGTCCGGAGGGTCGGCGGCAGCCTATGGCTTCTGTGGCCACGTAGCACTCCGCAAGCATCTGCTGTTGTCTGGGAAGGGGGACAGGCATTCTATGAGTCTCCCTCACTGGGTGCACACTGCCTCCCTCACTGTGGCATCACAGCGTGCGTGAGGCTGGGAATGTGTGAATGAACACGTGCCAGCTGCTGAGTGGGTCGACCTGAGCTGGACTCCGCTCTTTACCCTTCCAGAACCTCAGCTTTTGCCCCTGCTTCCTCTGGCCTGGTTGCCCATCCTCTAACATCATCGTGTGTTACCACATATGCCCTAAGTCTCCAGCGGGGGCCTGCATGCCCTTCTGGGCTCTCCCTCCTAGGATAAGCCATGACCATGTCAGCCAGAGTAAGAAAACATCCCTGGGGAAGGAATGAAGGGAAGGCAGGAGTAAATGAGCCTCACCCATCCGGATTCCACTCCCCTGCCCCTTATGTCTGTGACACCTGAGACTTGGAAGCGCAGCAGGAAGCGAGGGCTGTGAGGAGGGAGGGCGGCTCCCCTTCAGAGGTGACACCTGTGTAGCTGGATCAAGGCGAGAATGGATGGAGTAGCTTCTGCCTCCACCAAGGATTCTGGGGCGGGTTTCTGCAAAGCCATATCCTTTTAGCTGTATTTAAAAGATGAGTGAAGAGTGGGGAGGTGGCTCAGTGAGTAAGATTGTTTCTTACGTAAGGATAAAAGCCCGTGCTTGAAGCCCTTGATGTCCACAGAAAAGCCAGGCATGGGTGTATGCGCCTGGAACCCCAGCACTGTAGGGCAGAGACAGGCAGATCCCAGGAGCTTACCGGCCAGCCAGTCTAGGTAAAACAGCAAGCTTCAGGTTCAAGCTCAAGGGAGGAAAACTACTGGAGTCCTCCTGTGATCCCCACATACGCATGTGTGTGCACACTTGCACACACTTGTACACGACACACATACACAAGAGGACCTCTGATGTGGAAGTTACACTCCACGTGCAGTCATGGGCTGTTCCTGCTCAGGAAGTCTCTGAGAAGGGTTGACCCTGTCACAGGCAGTGCTTCCCCCCAGCCGGCCCCACCCTGCTGCTCTGGGTGTAACTGTGCCTGTGGAGGAAGAGCCTGCGGGCAGGTGTGCCATGCCGGGACCAAGGCTTGGTGTTCGGCACAGGGAGCAGGCAGTGTCGAGAAAAGGCAGCATGAGCATGAAAGAGGGGGCAGGGTGTCCTTACCACTCTCCCAAGATGGGAGAGCCTCACTGCCTCCACACACATGCTAAAATCCAAGACTCAGAGGCCGAGACTAAGAAGCATGAAGACCTGAGGGCAAGCACACAGCAGCCACACCAGCTGAGATGTTCCTGTCACGTGGGCCGTCCTGACTTCCACGTCCCGCTGGTCCTGGGAACTGGTAGCCAGGAGTCTCTAGAACGGGATGTGTATGGCTGAGGCGTGTCCATGGTGGAGGTCTGCATGGTGGGTAAAGGACTCTGGGGCTTGTCCACAGGAAGAAGACACGTGCAGACAAGGCTGGTGGAGCCTCGAGCCTCCTCACTCAACAGTGGAGACTGCTTCCTTCTGCTGTCCCCTCAGTACTGCTTCCTGTGGGTCGGAGAGTTCTCCAACGTCATCGAGAATGCAAAGGTGCGTATCCCAGTGATAAAATGCCTCCGTTATTGTGTCCTTTATACAGCAATGGGGTTTCTACCAGCTGGCCCATGCCAAGCTTCTCAGATACCCCGTGTCTCATTCAAGCGGGAAGGGGCGGGTAGCATTTCCTTTGCCAGTGTCTCTGAAGAAGCTTCCATGAGGTGTTGGAGTGAAGGCCAGCTTGAAGGCCGTGGGTCTAGGCTGACTGCTGAGGAACTAGCGTCTCTGTGAAGTGCCGCTGTTGCTCTTTCATGGGAATCCTGTGAGGGAAGCCCCAGGATAGTGTTCAAAGTGCATGAGTTATCTGTTGAATCTCCCACACTGAGCTTGGTGGTAGAGCTTCCCACATCTAGGCCATTCAGGAAGGAATTAGCACGCATACTCATGCAGCCGCAGACAAAGGATAGTGTCCAATCCACGGGGCTGAGGGTTATTGCTCCAAAGACTTGATACTTCTGCTCCCACAGTTGCGTTTCCTCGGGTGAGGCAGCGATGCCCGCCAGCCTGCGCCTCAGTCCTTCCCGGTGCATCCATTCCCCTCTGAGGGCAGCGTGTGCCCCTTTGTGCATGCTGGTTTTGCCTCCTGGCTCACTGTCCTTTTCTTTTCCAGGCATCTGAACTTGCAACGTTAATTCAGACAAAGAGGGAGCTTGGTTGCAGAGCTACATACGTCCAGACCATTGAGGAAGGCATTAACACACATACTCACGCAGCCAAGGACTTCTGGAAGCTCCTGGGTGGCAAGACCTGCTACCAGTGTAAGAGTTTGCAACGTTTCCGAGTGAGGGGGCCTGAACACCCCGCCTCCTACCTGGTCCTTCAGCCAACTACTTTCTAATGTCCTGTCTTCCCCCAAAGCTGCCGGAGACCCAAAGGAAGATGAGCTGTATGAGACAGCCATCATTGAAACAAACTGCGTCTACCGTCTGATTGACGACAAACTCGTTCCTGATGATGACTACTGGGGAAAGATTCCCAAGTGTTCCCTTCTGCAGTCCAAAGAGGTACCAGCTTCGAGGGTATAGCGCCCTGCCCTGGGCAGAGGGCTGTAACTGGCTCTGTACTGATGATCGAACACAGCATTTGCTAAAGAATGCTTATTGGCTATTTCAAACCATTACTGCTATCTAAAGTACTAACAAAGTTCAGAAGATTTTTCAGAAGTAGTGTGGATCATTGAATGCTTTTATATTTTAAGTAAGATGCAAAAATGTCTTGTGGTTATGTAAGATTAAAGTAAATTTTAGTTAGACGTACAGTTTCAAGAATAATTAATGTGAGTATATCTAATTACATATATTTGATACAATTTACAGATTTGTCAAGTATCTCTTTCAGTCACCCCAGTAACTATGAATTAACTGCATTTCCAGTGCTGTTTAATGTGATAATTGTTGAGAGAAAAGGGAAAACACACAAGGCCCTTACACTGCACTGGGTAGAAGCATTTTAGAAATTCAGGGCCAGCACAATGGCTCAGTGAGTAAAGGCATTTACTGCCAGCCCTTAAGGCTAGAGTTCAGTTTCCAGGTCCCACATGGTGGACAGGGAAGACCAACTCCTTAGATTTATTCTCTGACTTCCTAGGGTTTACACATGAACAGATAGATAGATAGATAGATAGATAGATAGATAGATAGATAGATAGATACGTACATACATACATGGATGGATGGATAGATGGATGGATGGATGGATGGATAGATAGGTAGATAGGTAGATAGAGATAGATAATGTTCATTCTGAAAATCACGGGATTTTCTTCTTAATTTTATTTTTATGTGTATGAGTGTTTTGCTTGCCTGCACATCTCTATACCAAATGCATGCACTGCCCACAGAGGTCAGGGGAGGGCATCAGATCCTCTGGCATTGTGAGCTACCGTGTAGGTGCTGGGGATCAAACATGGGTCCTCTGAAAGAGCAGAGCCACTTCTCCAGCCCCATTTTTTTTAAGTGACCCTTCCAGCCACTCTGTCTTCTGACCAGAAAGCTTGTTCATTTACATTTCACGCACATACACAAAATATTGTAATTTTAAAGCTTCTAATAAGTACAAAGAAAGCAACCCCTACAGCTTCTAGGATAAGTGAAATAAGTCACGCATGGAAAGGACAATACTGTGTGATCTCACGTATATGTGGAATATTCCTTACCCCTAAAGGAGATAAAACAAAGTCAGTTATGCAGAGACAGAAAAGCAAACAGAAGCTTCCAGGGCCAGGCCTGGGGGAGGAAAGGCCAGGGGAGGAGGGTCAGAGGGCAGCAGGTGTGAGGAGCACAGCTGTCCTAGGTATGAAGAAGGGAACGTGGGGGCAGGTCAGAGGCCAACAGGTGTGGGGGCACAGCTGTTCTAGGTATCTGAAGAGATTTTAGCTGCTCTGGGCACTAAGACAGCAGAAGGAGAAGTGAAGGACAGATAAGGGGCTGTGTTCATCACTGTGCTGGTACACCCCCCTTACTGCCTTTCCTGCTGTACTGTGTTATGGAAACATTCAAATATATAATAGTATGTTTTAAGAGTAAACTGAGGAAAAGTGTCATCCAAAGCTAGATTGAGGGTACGATTTATATGTACATTTAAGTGGAAAGTCACAGAAAAGGAAATAATTTTAAGAAGAAATGAATGGAGCCTAGCTAAAAGTTAAAGCAGAATTTAGAGTACTGGAAATGAAGGCAGGAGTAACAGGCAGCATTCCATTCCTGTGTTCATTCAGCAAACACTTAGCTCTAAGCCCCTAATGCAAGCGTGGTCTTATGCACCTCTGCCGGAAAGGTCTTAGACCTGTACACAGGAGAGACAGCAATGGCCGCTCAGCACCTGCTCTGCATGTTATATGAGTGAATGAGTGAGTGTGTGTGTGAGTGTTGGAGGGAGAAGCAAGGAAGAGAGGAGGGAAGAAGATGGGGGTACTTATATAACTTTATTTAAGGCTTTGGTGGTGAGAGTGTTCAGAAGCTCCAGCTCTTCAGCAGAGGCTGAGCCCCAGAGTCCGCCTGTGGCGTTCACCTGTCCTTCCTGTGCTGTTCCAGGTCCTGGTGTTTGACTTTGGCAGTGAAGTTTACGTGTGGCATGGGAAGGAAGTCAGCCTAGCACAACGGAAAGTAGCATTCCAGCTGGCCAAGCACTTATGGAACGGGACCTTTGACTACGAGAACTGTGACATCAACCCGCTGGACCCGGGGGAGTGCAACCCGCTCATTCCCAGGTGCCCCTGCTGCCCTGTGGGTTGTGCGCTGACCTGCTCTTCCCACAGGCTCCCAGCATCCCTCCTCACACTGGGGCTGGGCTGGGAGGGCCCCATAACAGACCTTCCCTTGGCTCTCAGCCAGCTAATGAGGATGAAGGCTGTGGTTCTAGGAACATGGCCTCTCCCCACCCTAACATCTCCGCTGCCGTTGTGTTAAGCAGTACTTCCTGGTCATCTAAAGTATCCTCCTGCCCTGAGTGCTGGGCACTTTGTGATGCCCTCTTAGTGTGTTTTGGGGTAGAGGAAAGGAGGGGTACTATGTTGAGAGAATGATTGAGATTTTTAAAGACTACTTGGGTAAATTGTCAGAGCAGGCACAGACTCTAAAAACCATGGTTTTTTTTAACTACCAGACCCTCCAAAATGCTTTACAACTGTGTGGGTCATGTATTTGTCACGAAACAGCCTAAGACAATGTGCAGATTTTGAGTTTCCTGCATAGTTTCTGCCTTTAAAATCTGGTTTTTAGAACTGGTTTTGTTGGTAGTTGGTTTCAGTAACTAAAAGCCAGCCCTGCAATCCCAGCACTCAGGAAACTGAGGCACAAGGCTCACTCATGAGATTAAGGCCATCCTGGGCTACATGAGTCCCAGGCCAACCTGAGTTAAAGAGTAAGAGAAATCCCGTCTGGAAAAAGCAAGAAAAGAATATAAATTAGATAATTTATCAATGTATTGAAAAAATTAAATCTTTAAGCAAATGCGCATTAATACTGTAAGAAGCAGGAGTGCGAAGGCCTGAGACAAAGCCGGGAGTACTCTCTTATGCTGGAGCATAGAAGCGCTATCATGGCCAATTTATACCTAACTGTGACATGTGCACTTGACCAAGCACCTGCCCCGCTGGCTTCCGCTATCTGTGCCACAGAATCATGGAAGGAGCTTCACAAACATGCTCCTGCCGGGCGCAGCCTTTGGGGTTGCAGCTGGAACAGGATGGCTTATGTATCAGCATGTCCTGGGGACGAGAAGGTGCACCCACGATTGTCACCTGGCCCCTCCTAACACACAAGCAGCTGACACCACCAAGTTGAAATGGCTAGGCCCTAACCGTCATGTAAGTCACAAGAGGAAGTAAATCGAGCAGCCGAGGCCCTGCTCCCAAGGCCCTCACCACAAGCTCTTGTGTCTCCTACTCCATTTCCACAGCATGTACGAGGCAGATTTCCAAAGCTGGCCGAGCCTGCTTCTCTAGACATCTCGGCAAGTCTGCAGAGGAACGTTGCAGAGCAGCTGTCTGAGGCTCAGTGAGGGTGAGGGCTTGTTGTGGTTGCTGTTCCAGCAGTACATGGCTGAATCTGGGCCCTTTTCTTGTCTGCCCCCACGCTGCAGGAAAGGACAGGGGCGACCCGACTGGGCAATATTTGGGAGAGTTACGGAGCACAATGAGACCATTCTGTTCAAAGAGAAGTTCCTCGACTGGACGGAACTGAAGAGGCCCACAGAGAGGAACTCCGGGGAAGTTGTCCAGCAGAAGGTACAGTGATCAAGGCGAGAGAGCAGGCCTGATGTGGAGACCAGCAGAGATGGCCATGATGGTAGAAAGGCTCCAGCTGCACTAGTGACGCAGCAAAGTGGTTTTCCATTCCATTCTCACCTTCACTGTGTGGCAGTGGGTAGCCCAGTTCCCCAGGTTCTAACACAGACATAGCATCTTCTAAATACTGTCAGAGACCCTGGGATGCCAAGAAAGCTGTATTTCTGCACTGTCCCGTTATCAGCTAAAATAGGGCTGAGGATATATATAGTCCTATAGCAGAATTGTGGTATGGCTGGCAACCAAGCCCTGGGGTCCACCCCCAGCACCACCGAAAAGGAAAAAGAAAAGCAATCCTGTCGGTTTATTATTATTATTATTATTAGCTATTTTATTTGGATTCATGTATCTACTATCCTTTTCCACCCCAGTCCCTTACAACACTGAACAGCAGGTAGGAGAGAAACAAGGTTACTGGGGAGAGGTAGTGCTGAGATCTTTTTTAGACTACTTCCTGCTGATTAGGGATGTTAATTCCTTGGGGCAAGTCCAATCTTCCTCTCATCAGGATATCTCCAGTTTCTTCTTACCATCTCTTTTCTCTTGACCACTTGACAGACCAGCAGCAGCAGGATCAGGAACCAGCAGGAGGAATAGCCATGCCTACTCTTGGGGTTCTGACCTTTTCATGCCCTCTCTATAGTTCCCAGAATTAAACTATCTTCAGCCAGCAGAACCACGCCCCTGCCAGAGCACACACAGCCTGCTGCTGTGGACAGTCTGAAGCAGCCCCACACCCCACTCCTGGGATTAAAACAAAAGCATGTTTACATAACAGCTGGGCTATTACAGACACTAAAAGTCTCACTACACAATCCAAACCGCACTGGGTATGACAGGAGACATCTGCAGCAAGGGGGATACCAAACATCCCTGCTCCCTTGTAGGACGATCCTAGGGCTGACGTCAAGCCCTACGACGTGACACGGATGGTGGCACTGCCCCAGATGACAGCCAGCACCATCCTAGACGGGGTGAATGTGGGCCGGGGCTATGGCCTGGTGGAAGGAGACGACGGGAGGCAGATCGAGATTGCTACTGTCTCTGTGGACGTGTGGCACATCCTGGAATTTGACTACAGCCGGCTCCCCAGGCAGAGCATCGGGCAGTTCCACGAGGGGGACGCCTACGTGGTCAAGTGGAAGTACATGGCGAGCACAGCAGGTTAGTGAGCACGTGTGTTTTCTCACCCCTGCCGGGCGTGGTGCGGTCTGCCAAGTGCAGGTAAGGACCAGGAGAGGAGTACAGTGGGATTCCTGGCAGCCCGCATGGCCAGGACACTGACACTCACCTCCATTAAAAATAATGATAGTAATAAATGCTGGAACACTCCACTCCTCATGCTTGCACTGCCCTGGAAAGGTTTCTGGAAAAGTCATGATTTGCTTCCACGTGGTATTGACATGTGGCCTGTGTGCTGTTTGAACAAGTCATTGAATGCAGCACATGGGAGCCATTTAAACTGAAGCTAAATGGTGCTTCAGCTTGGTAGTAAATGCACAACAAAAGACGTATTTCTAGAAATACATAGAGGTGCTGGGGTGTACCTCGGTGCTGGAATATTTGCCTTAGCATATTCAAGGTTCTGGGTTTTATCCTCAATAAAAATAAACTCTTGGGGCCAGGGAGAGAGCTCAGTGGGTAAAGCTTCTGCCACACGAATGTGGGAATCTGAGTTTGGCTCTCCAGCGTTCGCATTAAAGCTGGACGTGGTGATGGTATCCCCAGCACTGAAACAGGCAGATCCCCACAGCTCACTGGCCCACAGCTCACTGGCCTCCCAGTGTATCCAATCAGTGAGCTCGGGGTTCAGTGAGAGGCCCTGTCTCTAAAAGTAAGGTGGACGGTGACAGAGAAAGACATGGGACTTACCTCTGACCCATGGATGTTCTCAGCTGGACAAAGTCACGCCCCTACATGTGAGGGATCACAGCAGAACATCGTGTGCCCTCTCACAAACCAACCTGGGCAAAACAACACATGACCAAACCCAGTCTTCATAGGAAGCAGACAGTGCTACTTCAGCTAGCAATGGCAGTGTTTCATGCCCACCTGCCCTGTGCATGCTGCTGTCAGAAGGGTTGAGTAGCAGACTCTCCAGGAAGTACACGGCAGGAAGGAGAATAAGACAAGAACAGCAGGAGGCCATGGGACTTGAGGAGCTGGTCACCGTAACCTTGGGCCTGCTGTCAGTGAGAAAGCAAGCAGACACCACATGATTAGGGTGGCTGTGAGGTCCTGGTTTGTATGGTGAGCACTCACAGACACCTCCCCTGGCGAGATGCTGTGCTCTTTGCCCTGCTCCCCACAGCAGAGGTCATTCTGACTTCTCAGAGGAAGAGCAGGACAACCACCTGGTTCGTAGACAGCAGAGCAACAGACTGACATCTGACCTGGCCTCTTAGAGCCAGCGATGCTGTGACCCCTCTGTGCTGCTCCTCCTGCAGACATCAGAGCTGGTGCTGTCCCTTCCCTAAAGAGGCCTCGGGTGTCTGAACCTACAGCTGGAGTAGGAAGCCTTGCTTAGCAGCTGAGCATGCTGGGTAAAGATGCTCAACCTCCCTTAGCGCTGGCCTTCTCTCTTAGGAAACGGGGAGGGTGTTATGGGATCTGATTAGATCCAGCTCAAATACTAGGTCAAAGCACAACAAAGATTGTTGTCATCAAGCCACTACTGATTGATCAGGGCCGCAGAGAAGACTAGAGACCTGAACTGTGACACCTCCAACCCCCAGCCCAAGATCTAGAATGTTACAGAGCTTTGAAGCTTGGAAACCACAAACATCTGTGCCAAGTTACACTTACATTTTCCACCAGTCAGGATTTAGGGATGGGGACGTCTTTAGGAATGTGTCTCTGTGGTATACTTATCCTGTTCCCATTGGTTGGGTTATCAACTGTATCGGGCCAACTAGCATTCATGTCTGAAATTGCCACCCAGGACAGCAGTTACCCAGGGAGGTCTCGGCGATGTAAACTTTATTTGACCCATATTCAAAATGGCTTCAGTTTGGTTCCTCCTTACAAAGGCAGTGCCTGGCCCAAAGAACATTTGAAGCAGGGCTCTGTAATGTGTATGCGTGGTGCCTGGCACCTGTCCATACTGTCAGTGTTGGGAGACTCCTCCATGGAAATTTTCATCAGAAACAGCAAAATCACCACACAGTTTGGAAATGACTTCGAACTAGCTAAAGTAATGACAATTCCCAAGAGTGGGGGACAAACATATCCATAATGTAGAAAGGAAATGGCACATTTAACAAAAGGATAAAGGGATAATGTAATATATTTAGACATCTTCATACCTGGTTCTAGCTATGAGACAAAAGTAATCATGGGCAGCAGTGATGTGGGCAGGCAACCCCTCCCGTGATGCATGTTTTCCCAGGGAGCACAGTGGTACCTCACTGGCAGCAAAATGACACCCCCCCTCCCCAGCCTACTTGGATCAGTGTCCTGCACAGAAACTGCTTGCAGGGTGCAGCATGGTCTGTGCCCTGGAGGATCATGGGTGCCATACACCCTGTGGGTGAAGGCCCCAGAGGCAGGGTCAGGCTGCTTTGGAGGTGGACAGGAAGTTGGAGCAGTTCTCTTCTCTCAGTTGAGAGTGATTGTGACTGCTATGTAGAAGCATTAGTACCAACATTGCTATTTTGTGCATATCTGTATGTGCCGGTACATGTACACATGGAGGCCAAAGGGCACTGTTCTCAGCACTGTTCACCATCGCCGTCCTGGGGCTCATAGGTGGGCTAGGCCTTCTGGCCAGCAAGCCCCAAGGATCCACCTGTCTTCATCTCTCCAGGTGACCACATAGGGTATTATTATTATTATTATTATTATTATTATTATTATTATTATCTCTTTTAGCATGAATTCTAAGGATGGAACGTGGGTCCTTCAACTGAGCTATTTCAATAGCCCAGAAATAGACTTATTCTTGAAAGTTCTTTGATTAACAGATGCCGGGGGCGGGGGGTGTGGAGAGGGAGGAAAGGAGGGACCAGGAGAAGATGAGGGAGGGGAGGAAGGAAGGAAGGAAGGAAGGAAGGAAGGAAGGAAGGAAGGAAGGAAGGAAGGAAGGAAGGAAGAAGGGAGGGAGGGAGGGAAGAAGGAAAGGAAAGTAAGGAAGAAAGAAAGGAAGGAAGAAAATTCTTTGATGGTGTGAAGTATCAACCCTTTAGGGATCTGAGTTGTAATGACAATATTCTAGTATACCTCCTAATAAACCTTTACATTACTAAAGTTAAAAACAAATATATTGGCAATTAAGTTATTCTATGTAGGATTAAGTTTGGGCATACTGAGCAAACCATTACGGATATTAGTCGAAACGCCTGCTTTAGGAAAGACGGTGTATCTTAGGCATATACACCGGCGCCTGCCTTACAATGCTAGGGTGAAAAGTTGCCTGTTGACACTATTCACACAATGGATTGGAGGGCTCAGTCCAAGGGGTGTGTGACTTCATGATCGCTTTAAACATAGCTTTCTCCAGTAACCTCAGTAACAGCATGGCTTTTTGTTAGACTGGACAGGGGCTTTGCTTCTATCTAAATCAGCTATGGGTGTCTGTAAATGATTCTTGGGTGGTTTGTACTTACATCTTATCCTCTCGAGACTGCAGACACAACCATTTCAGACCCACAGTGGATGGCACTCAAGTCCAGCCTGAGGCAATTAGTTGGAGAAATTGTTAGAATCCTCGAACCGCTTACTTTAAATACATGGGACTATTTTGCTAAGCAAAGAAGGGTCCAAAACAGGTAAAGATGTCCTGACCTCTGAATAACTTAAGTGAGCTTCTTCTCGCGTTTGGGTCTTAAAGCAGTGGCAATTTCATCAGCAGATTGGAGTAAAGGGAAAATGAGGCAGTGCAGCCCAATGGGAACTCCCCCGAGTCTGGTCCTGGTAGACAGTCCAGGCTCATGTACATCTCTCGGGCATTCTTCAGCCTGTGGCGGCCAGACGACAGATGTGATGGGGCATCATTCATTTTCTTTTATATGTAACTGTATTGTATGTGTATTTTGTATATTTGGAGGCAATGTATGTATGTGTGAGTGTGTTTGTGCCATTGGGCATACACATGCCTGTGGGTGTGTGAAGGTGTGTATTCCTTAATCACTCTCCTCACTGTTTTGTTTTGTTGTCTGTTTTTTTTTTTTTTTTTTTTTTTTTTTTTGAGGCAAGGTTTCTCACTGACCTTGGTGCTCATGGATTCAGCTACACTGGCTAGCCAATGAGCATCCAGGGATCTGCCTGTTCCCCACACACCAGCTAATAAACATCCAGGGATCTGCCTGTTCCCCACACACCAGCCCCAGGGTTATAGATGCTCAATGCACTCCCAGCTTCAGCCTTAACTTTTAAGTATGTGTGTTTGCGGGGACTCATTGTTGACCCCTTATTATCTGTTACTGTAATGAAATTCCTAGAACAACCACTTTTTAAAGAGAAGGCTTGTTTTATCTCTCACTTTTGGAGATGCTAGCTTATGATTGTTACTGTGCGCCTTTGAGCCCACACAGCACATCTGCACAGAGAACTTTGGTGGCACAAGCTCCATGCCTCATGGCTGGGACATGAAAAGGGAGCAGCTTAGGCCCTCACCATTCCTTTTTAATGGTCCATTCTTTTTCCTTTGCTCTGGAAGCTCCTCCTGCTGTTAGTGATGTCATTCCTCTGTCAGCTGATCCTCTCCCAAGAGTGGTAGAATGTAAGAAAGTGAGTCTGTGTGAGCCTCCTCCTGCTCTCAGTCCCTGTATCCCCGCTCACACACTGGGGTCAGAGGGAGTCTGCCTCTGCCTAAGATGATGTGAGTTTTTCTTGGGGTTCTGAGAAGACCCCTCAGTCAGCTGAGAAGAAAGATGGTGCCCCATTTTGGCTCCACCCCTTTTTTATTTTTATTTTTTAATATCTGGCCCTCACAGACTCTGGGGAAGAGGGCCAGGCAGTCATCTGCTTCCCCACCGGTATCCCAGCTCACCTCACCCTCACCCTCTGCCATTGTTTCTGCAGTGGGAAGCCGACAAAAGGGAGAGCATCCGGTGAGAGTGGCTGGCAAAGAGAAGTGTGTCTATTTCTTCTGGCAAGGCCGGCACTCAACCGTGAGTGAGAAGGGGACATCAGCTCTGATGACAGTGGAGCTGGATGAAGAGAGGGGGGCCCAGGTAAGCTCTAGAGAGCCATTGCTTGGGGACCGTGATGATAGGCCTGGCCTCTGAGCACAGCATCCTCCAAAGCATGGGTGCCCTGCTTCTTCCCCCCGCAGCCAATCACACTTCTGCTCGGCTGTCCCCTCCTGTTTCCTGCAAGCCCTTCTTCCCTCTCCCTTCCCTGGGCCCCTTAACTGTGCCTTCTGTTTCCACAGCTTAAAACCACACTGCTGCTTTGTTTACTTATTTATTACTATTGTTTCCAGTGACCAAGAAAGACACCCCAAATCACAGGTTTGTGACCTTGGAGCCTGCATTGTGCCTGGCAGGCACTAGTACCCAAGTCCAAGAACTTTAAGACTTTATAAGCTGTTTTGTAGGGCCTTGTGGCATTGGCACTGGGGAATCAAATTCAGATCATTGTGTGTGCTAGGCAGGTACTTTAAGCCGACTGAGCTATATGGCCCCAAATGTGTCTTTTTAATGTTTGGATGATCTGTGCCCTATGTTACACCCATTAGTAGCACTACCTGAGAGCTAGCTCTGGAGTTCGGAGTTTGACACTATGGGCGAGTATTTTCACCATCTTGAATGAATGATTAATTGGCAAGAGCATGAGGGATGAGAGTAGAGAAACTTTTTCTAGAAATGGAGCCATGCTCATTAAGCTCTCTGCAGTCCTCAGAACTAATTACATTCCCTAAAAATAATTTTAAGACAGAATGAATATTTTCCACTATAAATTGTGTTTTAGAGGTAGACCTTAGCAACAATGGCATTGTAACTTATTCTGAACAGTGGGTGATTTCAGCTGCCTGTTTTTATAAAAACTAATGAATATGTTTTAACCCTGTGTTCAGAGCACACCTGGAGTCTGAGGTTAATCCCTCACTTTTTTCATTTTTCCAATCCAACACATGGAAAATCATGATAGGCACGTAAGACAGTGCCATGAAATGCCACTTGCCTGTGCTGAGAAGACCTGAGTGTCATGAGGTAGCTTATGGTAGAAATGTAGAAATGTCTCTACTTTTCTGGATGCCAGATGTACAAAGGCTCAGAACCTGGACCTTCAGATCAACCTCCTTTCTGTAAGGGGAGTTATCTAGCATCTGCCAAAGTGAGAGCAAGCGCTGCTACTAGGCCTGCTGAGAGAACACGAGAGCGAGCCATGCCACCCCACAGGAGACCACAGAGACACAGACACAGAGTCAGTTTCCTGTCCCTCTGAAAAACACCCCAGGTGATCGATGTAAGAGAACTGTTTCTTTTGGTTCTCTGCGTAGTTGGTTCTCTGCCATGTTGGTTCTGGGCTTATAGGGAGGCAGCATGTCATGGCAGAAACACACGTCAGTGAAACCACTTGGCTCCTTTCCAGAAAGCCAGAAAGTGAAAGAGATGAAGAGGAAGAAGCAAGGGTCTCCTACACCCTTCAGGGATGTATTCCCAGTGACCTCAAGACTTCCCATGAGGCCCCACCCACCTCTTAGGTACCACAGACTCTCCATGCACTTCCTGGGGGAGCTGAGCCTTGAGGGCATGGCCCAGAGGGGAATTTAAGACCTAACCTACCACAGATGCTACAGGAAGGGCATCCTTCTAACCCCAGATTCACGAAGTCAGCAATTCATGATCTTCACACTACGAGGTGGACCACTTTAAACACATTTAATCCATCATGTCATGGCCGTGCATAACATACCATGAGAATGCCAAAGTTAGTGAGGAAAGAAGGCAGCAGAGAACAACATTCCTGTCTTCTTATCACAGGAAAAACAGATACTTAAAAGTACTCTGAAAGCAAGCCTTTGCCTTGCACTTCCAGTCCTGCTTACCTTCAGATGGCAGTGGGGATACAACTTCTGTGTGTCCTGTTGGTGTAGGCCAGACTCCCTGAGACAGGCGAGTATTGTTTTCAGGCCTTTGGCAGCCCCTTCCTCTGACCTGTTTTCCCGTGCTTAAATCTAAAGGTCCAGGTTCTGCAGGGAAAGGAGCCCCCCTGTTTCCTTCAGTGTTTCCAGGGAGGGATGGTGGTGCACTCTGGACGAAGGGAAGAGGAAGAAGAAAATGTGCAAAGTAAGTTATTTCTAGTGTTAGCATTCAGCTTTTGTCTCTTCTCCCTGGAGGTTTTTGGTAGGAGGGCTTTAAAGGAAGTCCAGAGGCTGGCCCACTTGTAACCCCAGCTCCAGGGGTAATCTGATGCCCCCTTCTGGCATCCACAAGCACTGCACTCATGAGGGCAATGCCCCCCCCGTGTCTATATTAATTAACTATATATAATTAAAGTATATTTATACATAATGAAACTTGTATATAATAAAAAATAAAACCTTAAAGTAAGTCTGACGTTACGTAGCTGTATCTTTCCCACTAATGCTGGCCTGGTATAGCATCCTGGGGACCTCAACCCTGCAGAGCACTTCCTTCCTGATCTGTCCTTCTGTAAGGGAGGCTAGGAGCATTGCCTTGAATGGAATTCTCAGTAACTATCTACACTTCTCAAGAAAATTAAAAGCCAGTGGATTTCCTATTATAATCTTTTCATTGGCCAGCACCCTACCACTAAATCCTTAGGATTTCTCTCTTTAGTTATTTTATGTAAATCTTGGATGTTTTTTTTTCCTGCCATGTGAACTTTTGGCAACCTATTTATCACGCCCGACAACCCACTGGCTGCCCCTGCTCGGCAGTCTTCAGCCACGGGTCTTGCAGTCTCTACATGTATGTCTTTGATGGCATCCAGGGAGCCTGAAGGGCCACTCCTCCTTGGCTCCTCTGTAACTGTGCGCCGCTGCTTCCCCTGCAGGTGAATGGAGGCTGTATTGTGTGCGAGGAGAGGTCCCCATGGAAGGGAACTTGCTGGAGGTGGCCTGTCACTGTAGCAGCCTGAGGTCCAGGACTTCCATGGTTGCCCTGAACATAAACAAGGCCCTCATTTACCTGTGGCATGGATGTAAAGCTCAAGGCCATACGAAGGAGGTTGGAAGGACTGCAGCAAATAAAATCAAGGAACAGTGAGTGTTGGTCCTCTGGCCGGCTCTACACCCAGGGGATTCCTGGAGGGACGCAGGCAGGCTGAGGCAGGAAGGGATCCCCCAACAAAGGATGTCCCGTATGCTTAGAGTGACAGCCAGGGCTCTGTCATAGGTCCACAGGGTGCACATCTCCGCAGAAGCCTCCAATTTGTGTGCTTTTCCAGCTTTCTGAAGACATGTCTGCCTCCGTAAAAGGCAATGGGGCCAGGCGCTGAGGTGTAGCCTTGCAGCCCCAGCTTCCTAGAAAGCTGCGGCAGGAGGGACAAGCTAGCCCCAGAAATTAGGGCCAGCCTGGGTTATATCGTAAAATCTCATTTAAAAGAGATAGGAGAGAGAGGAGGGGGAGGGAGGAGGGGGAAGGAGGGAGGGAGAGAGAGAGCAACAGCAAGGCAGATGTCCCCAGCAAGCACAGTCACATTTCGGCTTCTTCCCAAGCTGCCACTTGCTCCCCAGCCTGCAGCCTCCGCTGTTACAGAGGGCCCGTGCCGCTGTCTTGTAGGAGTCTGAGTGTCTTGTATTGGAATGGCGGAATGGCCAGTGGGGGCCCACAACATATCCTTTCTTTAGAAAGCAGGGGCACCCCGCTGCAAGTGAGCAGCTGGCAGTGAGTCCTCAGACCCCCTTCCACTGCCCCCCACCCCTGGCCCGCCACTGGGGCACAGCAGTGCTGGGGTTTTCTCCTGGGGTCTTCCTGGTGGGCTAGGTGCTCAGGAGGAGCAGCATGGTCAGAGAGGGCCTGCCACTGTGTCTCTGCTCTTTACCAGCGGCCTGGGCAGTCTCAGTTCCCTGACAACAGCTGGGTTCCTTCCTAAAAATGGAGTGTTGCATCACATCCCAGCAGAGGGCTCGTTCTGTGGGCCCTGAAATGGGATGATGGGCTGCTTTCCTCCTGACTCCTGTGAAGGTCCGTGCTCTGTATTAAGGGCAGAGGGAAGGAAGACAAGTGACCTTCCAGCAGGCAGAAAAACCAGGCTACCAGAACATCCTTTGGTGGTCGGTGGAGGTGGGGGATTTAAGAGATGTTTTGTGAGAAATCCAATAGCATTCATGCCTCAAGAGGCTTCTCACTTGGGCCACTAACAACAAATAAGTGAATTCCTTCACTTACTCGCTTGGAAAACACTTACTTAGCAACTGCTTGGTACCAAACAAGGGACCAGAGAGTCAGCAGTGAATAAACACATTTTTCTCCTAATGAAATTTGTGTTGTAGCAAGAGAGGACAATGAACAGACAAATGCTGTGTTCCGTATGAAATGCACATGGTCTTAATGACATGTAGCTGTACATGCTTCCCTGGAGCACACTGGCCCGTCTCCTTCCAGCACAGGCGCTGGTAAAAATATTTACCAAATAGCGTGATGTCACCTTGGGTGTGGTCTTGATCAGAATGAAGTCGTCTGTGGGCGCTGTCTTGAGTCTCGGCTGTGGACACTCCTGGGCGTCTATAACCTTCCGCTTGCCTCCCATGCAGATGTCCCCTGGAAGCAGGGCTTCACAGCAGCAGCAATGTGACTATCCATGAGTGTGACGAAGGATCCGAGCCCCTGGGATTCTGGGATGCCCTGGGGAGGAGGGACAGGAAGGCCTACGACTGCATGCTCCAAGGTAACGTCACTGAACGCCACTCCGTTCACTCACTGATTTTCCTCACTGGAGATTTATCAAGGTCCGATTCCACCAGCAGAGCGCTTGCCTTGCAAGCTTGAAGAGCCAAGTTGAATCTCCAGGAAACACGTGAAAATGTAGGGTCAAGTGGCGTACCCTTGAGATCCTAGAACTCGGGGAGAGGTGCAGGAGGGTTCCTGGAACTTGAGAGCCAACCTAACTGGTGAACGCTGGCTCCTCGTGCATGCATTCATGTGTGACACGTATACCGCGCACACACACACCCCTACAAAGGTTTACTGAGCATATGCTATGTACAACACACAGTGAATAAAACAAAGGGCCTCCCAGAGGACCGATTCTCAAAAGGAAGCCGATCGCACATTCATTTTCATGTGAGTAAGAGAGATGTGTAATAAAGAGTGTGAAAGTGGGATTTTTCCCACCAGAAAACTCACGCACGCCCCGTGGGAAGCCATGTTTCCCTGGCGCCTCTGAGGCTGGCATGACTTAACAAGAACAGTAGGAACGATTGAGAAACTAGACAAGCAGCACCGTGGTGAGCTCTCGGGTTTGGCCAGCACCCACAGGAAAGGAAGCAGCGGGAACCCCAGTGAGACGGCGTGTTCCCACCAGATCAGGAGCGACAAGCCCTAAGCCAGTTAGACAGAGTTCTCAGCAGTCAGGGCTTGATGGGGAGACTTTGAAGGGAGTGGCCAGTGCTCCATGCCCGCTGGGAGGTGTTTTATTAGATGTGAGCATGTGACTGCTGCCACCAGCTCGTGGACTTGGAGCCTGAAAGTCAAGGCTGGCCAGGAGAGGCCGTCATTGAATGGCACGAGTCTGCTGAAAGGGGGCAAGCAGAAGGAGGAAGAATTGTGAGCCCTGTGTCCATCATTCAATAGATCTTAACCTTTCAGAGATTCGTAGATCCCTGTGATGAAAAGGGACACAGTTTTTGCAATGGACAGAATAAAGTACGTGTGTACAATGTAGGCATGATTGGGGGACCTGATGTTCATGGCTTGGAGGTAATTTATAAGCATTTATTGTCATTTTCAATTTAGTAGGCAAAGGCAGAACACACAAGACTAGAACCAGATCAGTGGGGTGTCATAGAGATAAAGAGGAGAGAAGGCAACAAAATGGAAGAAACGTGAAGCCAGAGGTCAGAATTCTAGTGGGGTGTGTGAGTGCAAGGCAGGAGGAAGCCCATCTTGGGGAGGGGACCCAAATCAAAACATAAAATTCCTGTTTCATGCATTGACTTCAAATAGCTATCCTAATTCGCCAGAGCAAAGTTAAGGGGTGCTGAGTGTGTGCCTTCCTGTCTTTCCTTAAAACATACATTATTATAATCATAAAAACCATAAAACAAACTTTCTCCCATTAATCATCTCTGATGAGAAGCAGTGTTTGTTCAGCAACTCACAGGTCTCAGGGATAAGCAGAACTCACGCGCTCCTGTGATTTCACCCACTTCTCCATAAAGAGACAATCTGGGTGACTGTCCTCTCCCTTTATTGCCTCAGTGCCCCCTTGCTGCCACCGAGATGTTGGTGACATTAGGGCATCGTAATATATTCCACTCTACTTGCCCTCCTCCCATCGCTGGGGAATAATGTCCAATGTTTTCTCTATTGTACCCTTAACAATTATTTATCCATAATTAAGTTAAATTCCTACCTATGGGACTCTATCAACCAGTGTTCCCCAGGACATCAGGCCAACTTCCTTTCTTAGCAGATATTAACAAAAGAAAGTAGTTCTCAACACTCATAAACAGAGCACAGTATCCTCCCAGACCCAGAAAAACTGGGAAAAGCACTGTTTCTGTTCAATTTAGTAGCTAGGAATGCTGGGGTAAACTTTTACGCTTAGTGTGTGTGTGTGTGTGTGTGTGTGTGTGTGTGTGTGTGTGTGTGTATCTGACTGGTGTGTACATATTTATACACACACACTTTTAGTTGCTGCTCACTGTCAGCCTGTGGCTGATGCCCATCACTGCAAAAATAACTAACACCAGACTTCCCTCTCAGAAAGCGAATATAAACCGAACCCCGCCTATTCACTGAGTTGCTTCGTGTTCGACGTCCGGCCCTTCTGGAAGCTGGTTCACACGGTGTCCTTAGCTTTGTTCTCTTTTCTTTGGAAGATCCTGGGAGTTTTAACTTCGCGCCCCGCCTGTTCATCCTCAGCAGCTCCTCGGGGGACTTCTCAGCCACGGAGTTCGTGTACCCCGCGAGGGCGCCCTCTGCTGTCAGCTCCATGCCCTTCCTGCAGGAAGACCTGTACAGCGCGCCACAGCCAGGTGAGGCCTGGGGGCCCCTTCAGCCAGCCTCCTTCCCCTTCCCTATCAGCAGCCCCCATCTGCCAAGTACACGACCAGCACACCAGAGACGTCACCATTCATCGATCCACCTCATCGACCCACTGCCAAAGAAAACAGGAAAATCAGCATGTAGCTTTGTGTCAGGAGCCGAATTCAGTGACTTTTACATCCAAAGAGATAGCTGACAGTACCCCATGGCATCCCTGGCCTTCCTCTCCGGCTTCCTGCTCCATGGTCCCTTGTGAGCTGCTCTTGCTCCTTTCCTCATATTTGTATTCCAAACCGAGGAAAGGGGAAAGTGGCGCTTTCTTATGCCCCTCTTGCTCCCATAGACTTTTCTTCATGCCGCTGCCCAGATGTCAGGGGGCCACTGCAGCTGCAAAGGAGCCTGGGAAAGCAAGAGGCTAGGGAAAGGGGCATGGGAAAGCTCTCAGCAGAGCAGACACAGACATGATTCTAGGGCAGCAACTGCGAGTAGCTACAGGAAGAGGCTGCTCCTCACCCGCCGTTCCTGGGCTCTGGCTGGACAACCACTGGCTTTTAGAGCAATCCCCAAATGTACATCAGGAGGGACCTTGGGGCCACTGAGCTGGCAAGTTGGAGAGAATGTGCCACACAGAGCAAGAGTCAGGTGGAGGCTTGAAGAGGAGGAGGAAGAGGCAGGAGGATTCTGTCTACAGTTCCCTTCCCTGTGAGAAACCCGTCACTGCTCAGAGTATTGTGGGGTCTGAGGGCAAGCCAGATGTGAGCCCTTTGGAGCCTAGAGATGGCTTCCAGCACAGCCCTTGTGACATCTGAAAAGGCCACCAGCAAACTGTGGATGAGCTGGGGAAGGGAAAGAAACAAGGCGGCATTTCTTGGGGCACTTCCTCGCCCTGCTAGGCACCTTTATGGTTTAATCTCAGAGGGCTGAGTATGGAGGTGACCTCCACTGACTCATTGCTCTGGACCTTGGGGACAGGGCTGTGGGGGCAGCTGGCAGAGCGGAGGGCTTCTGCTGGGCATTGCAGGAGTACCTCATGGCCTTGCTCTTCCTTGCTCTTCACAGCTCTCTTCCTTGTTGACAATCACCACGAGGTCTACCTCTGGCAAGGCTGGTGGCCCACTGAGAACAAGATAACCGGCTCTGCCCGAATTCGCTGGGCCTCCGATCGGAAGAGTGCGATGGAGACAGTCCTGCAGTACTGCCGAGGTGAGGAGGGCGGTGGGGAGCCGCCTCAGGCCCAGCCATGCCCCTCTGTGTTGTCTTCAGCCTTGAGAAGGCGCCAAGCACTCCCCCTTCTGTCACTCTGGAGGCTTGTTGGTCTTAGGATCAATACCTTCCCTGGGAACCAGGACAGAGGAGAGGCCATCTTTCTCTGTCACACGGTGAGGCCACCCACGTGGTATACCGGGGAGCCTCCTATACTGACACCTACCGTGAACATGGGTGTGAGTGGCTGAGCGGCCTTGGCACACTTCTCTTCAGGCAGCACCTGCATTACAGAAGAGAAATGTGTCTTAACTGCTAAAAGCCAGTGCTAGCATTTCTTCTGATGCTGCCATTGTTTCTCATGTGCTGTTGAAGCGTGTCCTGCTTCAGGGCATCCAGGGAAAACCTCCACAGGCAAAGGAAAGGGAAGCAGCCATGCCTGGTGGCAGGTGCCAGGGGAGCCTTCTGTCCCCCAGGGGTCCAGAAACATTTTTTCATGTTCAGGAAGTAGGTTCAGGGTAAGGTTGATGCCACATCTGTGTTAGGGGTGAACGTAAGAGTCGTCTTTCGGTAAACAGAGCCCTGCATTGTTAGGAGTGGCTCACAACCCACATCTTAGACACGAAAGCCAAGTGTTCTGAGGACAGTGGAAGAGCCCAAGAAAAGGCAGCGAGGACATGCTTCTTGGTCACTGACCTGTACATTCTGCCTCCCTACAGGAAAGAACCTCAAAAAGCCACCCCCCAAGTCTTACCTTATCCACGCCGGGCTAGAGCCCCTCACGTTCACCAACATGTTTCCCAGCTGGGAACACAGAGAAGACATTGCTGAGATCACAGAAATGGTAAGGCCCCGCCCCCAACCCAGGCCTCCACTGGCCTCTGTACTCCCGGCGAGAGAGAGAGAGAGAGAGAGAGAGAGAGAGAGAGAGAGAGAGAGAAACGTCAAACAGCAGTCTCAGAGTGGCAACAGACAGCGAGGTGTGGTGGCATACACCTATAATCCTAGCACTTGATGGCTAGCCTATGCTTTAGATAGCAAGCTCTAGGCTAGCCTGGGCTATGTGCCAAGACCCTCCTTCAAAAAAATTGATAAATAAATAGAATGGGGCCATACCCCTGAAGTATGTTGCCCAGGCTGCGTGGACCTGGCTTAGGAGAAGCCTTGTGGGAAATCAGTTGAAGTAGTTTGATAATTTTCTACACATAATTTTAGATCTTAAATACAAGCAGAGGCTACAAATGCCGGCTTCGGCATCACTTCATTCTACTAGCTCCAAGCCCACTGCTTCTCAAGGTGTGTGGAATGCATAGCCGTGCCCTCTCATGTCCAAGCTAAGCTCGTGTAGAAGAGAAAGACTGTGGCGCAAGTGTGTGCTTGGGTAGCTAAGGGAGGGAGCATTGCGGTCCCCCCATGGAGCTCATGCAACTGTGGAGTGCCATGGCATTACGGAAGGAAATGCTCATTTCTTTGCCCAGCAAACACACACATTTTTGTTTCCCCTAACCCTCAGGAGGCTTGGTGTTACTGTGTAGAATTGCATAGCCTGTGAGTTAACTTTGCTGGCAACAGGAATTCCAAGGGTTGTTTTGATTTAGTGGAAGGTAGGAATTTTTTTTCCAGTTTGATTTTGTTCCTCTGTAAGAGAGAGCGGTTTTTGTGGGGGTGTCAGGGGGGAAGCAAACCTGATACCCAGAATTTACAGCTTCAAAAATTAAATGTCAGAGAAACAAAGCTACCGATCAGCACACAGGCTACTGGCATGAGCAGATGGCTCTCAAAAGATGACCAATAAGGTTTTTTTTTAAGTTATCAGAGAGATGCAAACTAACTACTTTGAGACATCCCCTCGCCCCAGTCAAAATGACTGTCTTCAGGAAAGAATGCGCCCAAAGTCTATGGTGTGAAATCCTCAAACCATAAAAACATTTTAATGAAATGAGTAAATAAAACCCTTATTTAGTTTTGTGAAAGAAAAAGGAAGGAAGGAAGGAAGGAGGGAGAGGAGAGAGGGAGGGAGGGAGGAAGGGAGGGAGGGAGGGAGGGAGGAGAAATCTGAGCACAGATGTCAGAGGGGATGTGGGAGAAGAGGGACCCCAATTTGCCGCTGGTCGGAGTGGAGATACTGTAGCATTATAGAAGTCAGCAGGCACTTCCTCAGGAAAGTAAAGACAGACCCTACCATATGACCCGGCTCTACCACTGCTGGACATGTACCCCAGAACTGCACGTCACACCACAGAGCTAATGCACACCATGTTCCCTGATGCTCTGTTTTCCGTAGCTGAGAAATGGAACCAGCCTGGGCGCCCACCAAAAGGCGAACAGATAGTGAAGATGCAGTACAGAAACACAATGGGTAGTATTCAGCTGGGAAGAAAAATGGAATCACAAAACTTGCAGGAAGACAGACGGACCTGGACAAATACTGTGAATCATAGTCAACCCAAACTCAGAAAATAGATTCCCCTTGTATGCAGGTCCTAACCTATAATGTATACATGCGTGTGTGTGGACAGGTGTCAGTGTCGGGTTGTATCCATTTTACACATAATTTTAAACACACAAACAAGTAAAAGTATCTGCTGCTGTGTAGCAGTCGAGAGCTTGTATAATGCACACGTGTGTCTGCTCAGCTGACCTTGGCAGTGCTAGAACCGCAGGGCCTTGTGTGTGCGGCAGGCAGCCTCAACCCTCTAACCTACCTTTAAACAGATAGCATCTATGTAGGGAAGGAGCCTATGCATTCTGATCCCCCTGGACTATGTGTGGGTCTCAGGCCATGGCTCCAAGGATCACAGCATGGCAGACTAAGAGGACAGAGGTTGCCTCAGATTTCTACCTTCAGTGCAGCTCATTGGGTGGCGGAGGGACAGGTGGGGCAGGCGTGGGGGTCTGTAGCTCTCCATAGACGACACGTATCTGCTCAAATGTTCTCTGCTCCCTCTCTCCAGGACACTGCAGTTTCCAACCAGATCACCCTGGTGGAAGATGTCTTGGCCAAGCTGTGTAAAACCATCTACCCGCTGGCGGATCTGCTGGCCAGGCCACTCCCAGAGGGCGTAGACCCGCTAAAGCTTGAGATTTATCTCACGGATGAAGACTTTGAGGTGAGTGGGCCTGGATGGTGATGGCACACTGGTGAGGGTGCCTTTCCCTCAGCCACTCACCGGGCGTCTCCCACGTTTCTTCCAGTTTGCGCTTGACATGAGTAGAGATGAATTCAACTCACTGCCCACCTGGAAGCAAGTGAACCTGAAGAAAGCCAAAGGCCTGTTCTGAGAGCAGTATGACAGAGCGACAGGGAGGCCACGTTCAAGGCCACTAGACCAGAACACGGTATTTTTTTTCTGTCAAAGAAGAAAGTATTTTTGAATCAGAGTTTTTCAGAACCTGACCTTATTAACTTCGTGGCTTGCTCTGGAGTCGAGCATTTTGTAAATGTGTAGGAGAACTCTTTGAATCTTGGAATCGTTCTTTTTCACGGTTCAGGTAAACTGAAAGAAAAGCGTCTTTTCCGTTCCCTCAGCTGAGCGCTGCCTCAGTGGCCGCTGCAGCCCGGCCCTCCTGTTCCGGCTCGGCATTGCCTTTTTTAAAGCAATTCTCTTTATAAAGTGTTATTTTGATAGTTTGTGGATTCTAAATATATATATATTTATATAAACATCATATAAATCAAATATGTATTTAACAAAGCAATATGTATTCATTCACTTTCAGTTCTTTTCTTTGGTGTCAAAACAATATTACAAGGTAGACTAGAAGGCGTCACCTCTGTTGAGTTAGGCCTGCCACCAGTCTGCCCTCACCCCACCCCCCCGTCCGTCTGTCCGCCCCCACCTCCGTGCTCAGGAGTGCCTCCTTCAGCCTTAGGTCTGGCTTGTGCTCAGTTCTGCTTCCGGTGCTAAAACAAGCAAAGCCTCTGTGCTTCCCAGTGTGGACTCTGAAGAATCTATGAGAATCAACCTTTCTACCTTAAGATCTCCCCGAGAAATGTATAGTGCCTTGTTTTATGTACAGTTTATATACAGAAAAGTTCGCTCTGCTTTTTTTTTTTTTTTTTTTTTGATGCTGGTTTGGAATATTATCTACCATTTTATTCTCAGATAGTAGAAATAAAAACATCTCAGTTTCTCGTATCCATTGTGAACAGTACACATGTCATTTTGTGACACAGGACCCCAAAATAAAAGCTCAGAATAATCACAATTCATTGATCAGTTTACATCGACCTGTTCCTTTGTGTGGAAAGAACTATGTAGCTGCCTATCGAGCACCGGCTGCTGTAACTCTGAACTTCACACAGGGCAAGGATCTCGGGTGAGGGTGGAAGATTAAATAGAATAAGCAGGAATTTGAGCCATAGGTTTGCTCTAAGCACGGCAGAGCTGCTTCTCTACTTGGGACCTCAGTGCCTTCTCTCAAAATATGAACGATGTATAAGGCGTTAAAATATACGCTATGCGACTGCGGCATATAGCTCAGTGGTGGAGTGCTCGCCTTCCATGTGTGGGTTCAATGCCCAGCACTGCCGGAAATTGAAAAAAGCCAAATCTGTGATCTGAGCACGTTCTTCAGATGGGCTGTAAGTCGTTAAAACTCTTCCCCTCACGCATTGCTCAGTCTAGTTTAACCCGTCTGTCTTAAACCTTCTAGCCCTCTTCCATGCCCCACTGTGGGACTCTACCAGGCCTGGAGCCTGTCAGCTGCTCGTGGATTGTGTGACATTGTCCAGTCACCAAACCTCCCTGCCTTCCTTTCTTAAGAGATGAGATGATAGCGCCCCTCTCCAGCGTCACAGAGCTCTGGGCAGGGGTGGAGAGCTGGGCTTTGAACATTGCCCAGGGCCGTGGACCATCTGGTGCTGATGCTGTGTGACAGGAGCTGAAATGGGAGAGCAGAGTTAGAGTGAAAGGATGGGGCTATGCACCCAGACATGATGACAAATGGGGGGCTCAGAGTGCATCCCTCAAACAGCAGCAAAGGCACGGGCTAGGGTCTGTAAGCAGTAGGGCGACCTGAAGATGTCATAGAGAGACAGATCTGCAGCCAGCTCAGAAAGCCAACTGGGATCGCAGACACAGGGCTCCAGTCGGGGTGCTCCGGACAGAACCAACTGTCTGTGTAGGGGTAACTGCATCGCGCATGCGTGGATGGGAAATGGGATAGACCCCGTGACTGGGAAGACTGACTGTCCCAACTGTCCAGCCTGCAGCTCCCGCAGAACTATTGCCTAGCTGCCTGAGCCTGGGCCTTGGAGCTTGGGAAAAGTGTGTCAGCTCAAAGTTAGGCCTGAGATCTCAGGAAGACATGTACGTGCCAGAGCCCAGAGAGCACCGAACCTGGTCTGCTGGCTACATCGCATAGGAGCAGTGTTCCTGCTGCCTGAGGGAGAGCGGAGCTCACCTTGGTCTCTCTTTTAGCTGCTCCCTCTGCAGACCATCCCCACTCAGACATACGCTTTTCTCCTCTGCAAACATCTTTGTGGCACAAAGTCAGCCCAGTCGGGTTAGTAACAGCAGTGGCTAGAGGAACCTCCAAGGAGGCGTAATTCATGTCTCTGTCATCAGCCCTCAAGGCCAGGTTGCTCCGAGCTGCTCTGAACTCTTGTGCCCACACTTGTACCAAACGCTGTCTCACAGTCGTGAGCAGCCAGCCTGATGTCCTCTCATGGACACCGCCCTGGGTCCACCGCTCGCTGTTTGTCTCTTCCCTACTTCCAGAACGAGAGCCTTCTGGGCCAGAATTTTCAGGTCCTCTCATAGCTTCCATTTAGCTTAATTCATCTTGAGATAACTTATAATACCTAAGGCTGAGAAAGAGCCATGTTAACAGCTGTGTTGTCTGGAACAGCCCCTCACAGGTTTGTACGTTCTGAGTTCAAACAACTAAGCATGGCTCATCCTTGGGGACTGACGGAGAAGGAAGGATGCCAGCCCAGCACCCTCATATCTAATAGTGAGCTTCTCTGCCACGCTGCTAGGATTAAAAGGAAACTTCCAAAGGCAGACTTGGTAGTGGAGGCTCGTGGTCTCAGCACTTGGAAGGTGGAGGCAGAAGAATCATGAGTTCAAGGCCAGCCTGACACCATGGAAGGACCCTGACTCAGGGCACCCAGAATGGACGCAATGTCGACTAATGGAAGACAGTGCCCAATACACCCAGTCTTGATATCCCTTCACAGTCTTAGGAGAGTTGTGTAAAACGTTCTTGAAGTTGTGTGCCATGGGCTTTGGGAGTCCCTATGGACAGTGTTAGAACTGACTTGTTTGATCTGGGAATTATCGTTAAGTCCAGCTTTGTCGTCTGACATCATCTCAATGTTTACTTCCCTGCTCCTAGCCTCAGTCAGGTCTACAACACGGGTTGATAAAAACCAGCGCCAACACTGCACGAGGCTGAAAGACCGCATGTTGCAACGCGCTGTGCTGGGACACAGGAGTGGCTATTAAAGAATGCAGGGAGGGCACAATCTTAGAAATTCTTTGCCCACTTAAACTGGATCGTTTAGGTACTTGGGTCACAGGAGAAGGCAGGGAGCCCGCTGACAGTCTCCCCAGATGGTCAGTTCTCCTAAGGACTCTGGCTGCGGCTGGACCCTGCCAGCAGGGAATGTGTGAAAGTTGTTCAAGGCAGGACCTCAGCTGGCGCTCCGGCATTGTGCGTTCCTCCACAGATGTGCACTGGTAGCCTTACCTGCAGGCCTTAGGCCTGTGCTTCGCTGACACATTGCCACAGTTTGACTATGCCTAGAGGATGGCCTGGCCATGTGTGAGGTGGGAGAGGGAGGCGGGGCCTGGACAGGGCTGCAGCAGCCTAGGACAACTGGCTGCAGAGTCATCCTCCCGAGGCTGGTGGAGCAAGGGAAGCCTTTTCCCATCCCCAGCGCTGTAGGACGCTGCACTCTGCCGATGTCTGGCTGCTAAGGACTCTGCCTGCCTGCCTTCTTTGATCCCAGTGGCCACATGCACAGGGGCTACCGTAGCAGGAGTTTTGTCTCTTTAAAAACTCAGTTATGGGGCTGGAAAGATGGCTCAGTGGTTAAAAACACCGCCTGCTCTTTCAAAGGACCTGGGTTCAATTCCCAGCACCCACATGGCAGTTCACAACTGTACGTAAATGCATATAAAATTTAAAAACTTAAATAAAATTATTTTTAAAAAACTCAGTTATGTTATATAAATATGTTTTGTTTTAATCTCAAGTGTGCGATATGGGGCTGCCTTAATTTATCCACTGCTAGTAAGTGTCTCATGCAGCTCAGAGAGGGGTGTGGTCTTTGCCAGCTGCAGTTAGTGGAGTTCTAACTGCAGTCCGAAGACTAAGAGGGTACAAATACCAGAGCCCAGAGAGAAAATGAGAGAGAACAGCAACAACAACAACAAAAAAATTCTAGGACACAGTCAGAGGAGAAAGACGGCTGTGTTTGCTGTTGCTGGCTTGCTGGTTAGCCGGAATGCTGGGTATCCTGATGACTGAGATTGTCGTTGCCACAAAGAGTCCTCACACCTCCACTAACCTTTTTCTCCTGCGTAGTTGGGGGGGTTGGAAGGTATTAGGGTGGATAAGGGTTGGAAGGAAGGTAGAGGTAGAAGAACCCAGTAAAACAGTATCAGAAAGGCACAACAAAGGCTCCTTAGAGCATCCAAAGCCAGTCACTGGTTTAGCTGCTCAGTGGGCAGACAGACAAAAATGAGAAGCCGAGTCAGGTTGCCTGGATCTGGCTGGAAATTGTTAGGATTCAGCTCTACCGTCTGAGAGAACATCTGGACACATTTCCATCTCTGTCTGCAGGAGGAATTACAGCACTGATACGGCACTCCACCCTGTAGCGCGTCACAGCTTGAATATGACGTGTCGCCCAAAGAGCCTCATGTATTGAGGCTGTGCTCAGCCAGTAGCACCATTCATCAAGACACTGAGCTCAATGGGGTGGCCAACTCCACAGGAGAAAATGGGACACAAGGAGCAAACCTCTGGGTGATGTCCTGTTCCTGCCCCTCCCGGCTCTCCTCTTTCTGCTTCCTGGCTGCTGTGAGGTGGGCAGCTTTCCTCAGCCCTGATTTTCTGTTGTGATATTCCTCCGCATTACCCATGGGCACATGTGCATAGAGCCAAGTGACTCCAGACCCCTGAGCCCATGAGCCAAAATAAATCTTTCCTACCTTGTTTTCTCTGGTATTTTGTCATGACAACAAAAAATAACCCTGCGGCCCTGGAAGGAGATATAGGATCGACAAACGAGCATAGTGGCTGTGTCTGCCCTAAGATCTTCATCAGCCCTTCCTTCCCTCAATCACCCTGAACAAGCTCTGCCTCAGAGAGGGGCCTGAATGGCTGCTTGTGCAAAAAGATGTCAGACACATCCTCTGCCAACAACCGCCAGGACAGAAATTACACTGCTTATTCTGTAGACCTCTTGCTCCCACAGTCCAGTCAAGGCTTAGATTTCATTCGTCCTAATTTTAATCCAGAGGGGACAAGAATAGGAGGAGTTGTTTGTGGAAATATCCCTCATATATAAATCTGTATATATATATAACCTATCAGCTGTTGTTCTAGAGAAGCAAAGAGCCCGGTTGGGACCTGCAGGGAAAAAAGAAATACTGAAGAGACAAGAGGAAAATTGACTTTGAGCCTGGCGTCTGCAGGGCTAAGTGCTGCAGGGCCAGCAGGTGGCGCTGTGGCTGGCCAGCAACCGCCCAAGCATCACAAACCAGAAACACCAAAGGAAATTGCAGGCCATTAGGGTGGGGTGAGGCCTTCCTCCTAAGACCCTTGTCAGTCAGTGCCTCTCTAGTTGATTTGTTTCTAGAACAGGAAACTTGAATCTCACTAAGAATTTTGCCAAAGGCAAAGCAGTCTTGTAGCCTCCTTCAGTTCATTCTTGCTCGCACTCTGGGGAAAATCTCCAAAATCATAGCGCATAGCTCTGGTGGAAGCCTTGCTCCCTTGCTAGATTAAGAGAGACGTCCGACAGAGTAGGGGACTACCTCATCTTGCTCTTGGGGTTCCTGCATCATATAAACACACACACACACACACACACACACACACACACACACACACACACATACTGTAAAAACCCTTTGGTTTTCTATATGAACCCTTTGGTTTATCTCTATAAGATAAGGTTATCACCTTGCTAATTTCAATTCCTTAATGTCAGAAAAGCTTTGTGTGTGAAATCCCCAAGTTCTGTTCACCAC